CAAAAGAGGGAGCTAGCTTCGAGTATTGGTGTGCGATTACGCGCTTTACTAGTAATACTAAAGTCTACAATGTCGGACGAAATTGACGTTTCTTATTTAGCGCTCATATAAAGGTTTTTCAAATATCGACTAGTGTCATAAAATCGTGGCTTAATATGTTGTTCGTGAACCCAGACAATAGAACAGCTAGTCATTATGAAAGTCACTATAGGTGACATGAACGTCGGCAACGAACCTTACATTCTTTAGTCGGGATTGAAGTCGAATTTTACTACAACGAACGCACAATGTGTAAGGTTAGGGTTACGTCTAAGTTTGAAGTCAGGGGTTGGTTTAGAGTTAGGCAGCAACGAGACCATAATTTCTTATTTCAAGTGCCCTATAGGTTAAGCATAACAAAAGATAATCGAGCATATAATTTGGAACGCCTGAATGAGGCCCATTATCGGTGCTGACTCCGTTTTACGGGACATATATCACGCAGAATCTGGGCACCGACATCGTTTTGGTTTTAGTGACCTAGTGTTTTCATACATACCAAGTAATGCCGGTAGCATTTTGCCGCAAATACTGTTAGAAGGAATTAGCAGGGTTTATTACATTTTATTTTTCCCTGCATATCCAGTAGAGTTTCACTTACCCATCACACAAATTAAACAGTTTCTTAATTAAGTACTATATTTATAGTTTAGACTCTAACACTAAAGACCAGTACTGGTGCGCATTAATAATGTCCGCCAGTTAATACATTCGGCAAAGTTATACATAGCAGCCGTGAGACATCAAACATGCACCTGCGTTTGTTTTAGTGTTTAGTAGTATGTTGCGAATGTTGTGTTTTCCGTTGTTTTGAGTAGTGATCGTGTCGGAAAGTGAACCGGGCTCGACTGAAAACGGGTATTATATTCCGCCATCGCAAAATATAGAAGAACAAGCCAATTAGAGCAATTCGAGTTGGTATTTTATTTCAAAGTTGTCAAAGGCCCGCGGACCCTTTTTCCCTTTTTGAATTCCATGATAAACATTAGTTTATTGACAATCTAGCCGCTGGTTCTGTCGTGTGGATTGTTTACTGCAAGTCAGAGCGAGGAATGGCCAAGCAGTCCACAGGAGTTGGCTAAACGCCAGCTGAAAAGAAGAGGTGTCACCCCCCTCCCATAGTTTTCAGTGATCGCAAAATAAAAGGAGCACCTTCAATAAAATACTTAAATGTAAGCTTTACAATACACATGTTTGTTGCCCCACATTAAGCAAACATCCCCAAAAGCCACTTGCTTACGCCGATTCCCATGGAAAAATCTCACCTTAAATGTACTAAAGATAAAACCTTATAAAACTGCCTTGTATGACTTCCGAGGAAAGTATCGCACGAACTTGGAACATACATTTTCTGGCACGGTCCGAATCTCTATATGACTATTTGAGCCGAAATACATCAGCTACTGCGGAACAACCACATAATATTCATAAACCGCCAACAGGCAGCCAGGAGTATGCAATCGTGTAATTATTTACCGTACAGAGAACACAGGTATTAGCTAAAAGCCCAGGCACGCGTGTTTCGTTGATCTTCTGCCGCTGCCTGACGCAGCCGCGAGGGGTTCGACTCATCAGTGGGTCCGCCAGCCTTCCCCGTACGTTTTCTAGTATACGAACTCCAGTTTCACCTTGCCTTGTTGTATTTCCAAGAATATTAATGCTTTTAGCTACTATCTGTGTCGTTAGTATAGTAAATAATTGCACGATTCTATACTACTGGCTGCTTGTTGGCGGTTTGCGAATATTACGCGGTCATTTCATAGTATACTATTGTGCTATCATTTACCGTACTGCCAACACAGGTATTAGCTGAAAGCATCAATTTCCTCGGAAGTTAAAGAAGGCAAGTTCATATAGGAGAAAACGCACAGGGGAGGCTGGGAGACCCACTGATGAGTCGAGCCCCTCGCAGCTGCGTCAGGCAGTGACACAAGATCGGCGAAACACGCGCGTCTGGGCTTTTAGCTAATACCTGTTTTGTCAGTACGGTAAATAAATACACAACCCTATAAAATGTTCCTTTTATCTCTTTCTGACTACAGTGCATTTTCCTTTGACATAATCTTATCGGATGGCCAAATATACAGGCATTAAGAGTCATTTTACCAGATCCTTTTAACCACGACGGACTCCAGGGTATACAGGTATAGGCGTACAATAAATGCCGTTTTAAGCACCTCTGGATCAGGTGACTCCAAAATGGTCGCGGTTACTTATTGCAAGTTACATGGGACAAAGGTATATTAAAAATGGGTATCCTAAAAGGTCACAGCCGTCCCAAAAAGCCAGAAATAATGAAGCCACCTGTAGAATATCTCAGCTTCAGTAAGTCACTACGATAAGATAAGATATGCAACCACATGGAATGTCCTCTCAAAACCCTATTAGGAAACCACCAAACCTAGTGGAATTTAAAATAAAAATCAATGAACTTCTCACAACTTTTAATACACACGTATTTTTGAATAAGATAGATACTTTTCTATGCAGTTCTTTACCACAGAATTTGGACCGTCAGGTTTGTGGTTTCATTTCTGGGACGTTTCCATGTACTGCCCACGCTTCAAAAATGTGACATAAAGACGTTCTACGAAAGAGAATTTCTCAAAGTTATTTCTATCGAAAACGTTCATAGTAGGCACACTAAATTATTCCATTCCTGCTGAAAAGTCCAAATTCGTATGCAGCAGCTGGCTGAAAGTTGGGTTCTATCTCCAAACATCTATTAAATTGCAACTTTTGCTCCTGTAAACCGTCCTTATAAATTTCGTACCTTTTCCTTGGCAATCCGACTCCTGCTTTCGACAGCATTAAACCCTCTGTCTTCTTTGTTTCTTATAATATCTTCCTTAAGAATGTCCAGTCAGTCGGTATTAGTTTATCAACTAGTTCATCTACTCCTAAGTAAAGCCTCTACTATTGTCTTAACACTGACTTGGTGGGCCCTTTATTCTCTTCCAAGCACTTTTTGCCGTGACTTCAAGAAAGGACTGTCGGGAACTTTGATGTACTTCACTTGCCCTTAGTACTGTCATTGCTGGTATATAGATTCCCTCATACCCTTTCATCTACAAGGGCCCCCCGTTTTGCCTTGTCCGACCACATTTTCGCTTGTCGGCTGATCTCGCCTCACAAGAAATCTGATTATTAGCCAGAACACTGCGAAATACTAGGAAAAAAGTATTGCCCCATATCGCAACTCACAAGAAATCTGATTATTAGCCAGAACACTGCGAAATACTAGGAAAAAAGTATTGCCCCATATCGCAACTCTACAACGTTTTGTTCAGGTTTAGCTGCGCAAATCTGCCATACCACCTGCGTTTTACTCGGCGCCCATCGTGATTTAGGTCCCGTTTTGGTTTCTGGGGTGTGGAGATCTCTCCTTCAACCTGGCATCAGATTGTACATTGTTATGACCTTTCGGCGAAAACGAGCACCGAGGAACATCCGGTTCTTCGAAGTTAAATAGAGTTCCCACTCAGGTAGGCCGCTGGAGTTAGCGCGAACAACTCATCGAAGTGCGAGGCACAGTCGTGACTTCTCGCAGCCCAGTAGGACTGAAGGAGATGTCTTCGGATCTGTCCATCCAAAAGGAGAAATGATTAATCGCATCAAGTCCGCATTTAAAAAATAAGATTTTGAGGTCCTTCGCGGTTTCGGTTGTCCCCCTTGAACACTTTCCAGAAACTTGTGGTCTTTCTTTATCAGAAGCGCCACGCCGGAATGAGAAAGCGGACATAGGTCGATTCTTCGGCATCCCGAGCGCATAGAGAAGAGTGCTTTAGAGAGAAAAGATGATGATTATGGATGTTATTTCGTTAGAATGCATTCGTCACGGGTATTCCGCCAAGGAAATATTGACGAGATCACCGTTTGCGCTTACCACCTTCATTTGCAGCCGCAGACAAACATACTACTTAAAGTTAGACTTGAGTAACCATTTATCAGACTATTCGCATACGCGATTAAGTCCTTCTAGAGTCCGTTCGTTGTTGCTGCTTTAAGTCGCTTGATGTCATTTGCAAACGTGACTGCCTGGCAGTCCAGTCCTGTCGCGGAGTCATTGACATCGATTGAAAGAGGAAATGGCCGGAGTACAGGACGCTGAGATACTCTGCTATCAAGTGACATGGACCTTGGCTTCACACTGCTAGTGCACATGAATCTCAACCAGCCGGTAAAGAAGCCCTCTAGACAGTTCAGTAGGTTCCTCTAATCCCGGACCCCCCGGACCTTGCTGAGTAGTCAGAGGTGTGACATAATATCGAGGTCCTTCTTGACGTCGAGACAAACGACTCCGAATCTTGTGTCTTCTTCTTAAGCCCCGGATAATTACTAGACTGAATAGATCATACTGGTAAGACGAGAGTGGCTTCGTCGAAGACCATGTTGAATATTATCGAGAATGGTCTTTTCTTTGATGAATTCTTGATAGCTTTTTCGCCCTATTTTTCACAACTTTGCAAGAGGTTCATGTAAATCTCACCTGCCAAGAGGTCTAAGTATTTATCCCGTACCCATACCCTTGTGAATTGGGTAGACATTTGCCATCTTCCAAGTGAAGGCAAGAACGCTTCGTTCAAATAATTACTGAAAAATATGTAGAAGCAATTTCAACTTCTCATCCGAAATCTCGTATGACTGGGACATACTGAAAATGAATATGCTAACCAGCGAGAACGGTCCTCTGAGCTCTAGAAGTAACGAATATATCCCAAGAATACTCAATTCATAAAATCACAACATAACCGTTATTCCAGAAGATATGAAACAGTATGAATTGCCTGCTTAATGAGAAAAATCGACCAAAACTTTAAATTACTGGCCGAACTAGTTGGCCACAACTGCATAATGGCGCCAACATTGGCATGCCATGCCCCTCAGCCGCATATATATTGCAGTCCTCAGACATTGGGAAGATCACGGAAGATGACTTTGCTCGCGATGGCTGATGAGACATGCGTCCCTGTCTTACGACTTTTACACCTATAACCTACTACTACTACTACTACTACTACTACTACTACTACTACTACTACTACTACTACTACTACTACTACTACTACTACTACTACTACTACTACTACTACTACTACTACTACTACTACTACTACTACTACTACTACTACTACTACTACTACTACTATATCTACTACTACAACTCCAATACTACGAGTACTAGTCGGTCTAAGCGTCCTAGGACATGTTTGTGGAGCTCCGTGGCTGCTGGTGTTACGCGTCACTTCAGTAGAAGCCGCTTATACATGTGCCCCTCCTCCCTAGTGAGTGAGTTCGTCGGGGGACCGTCTGCTCGGATTTTGTAAGTTCGTTAGGACGGTTTGCTCTAACCCTTATGTACGTAGTACCGCAGGACTTTATAGGCCATGGCAAGGTCTTAATGCCTGTTGATGAATTTTTCATCTGGATACCGCACCTAACGTGTGAGTCTGTCTGCTGTTGAGACGCATCGGCACAAGATGGTCGCTCCTTGAAGATCAAAAGTGAGGCCGGTTTGTAACAAAATGCCCGGCTGGAAGGGAATCAGGTGTTGGGGGACGTGCGGTACACCTTCGCCCTGACATCTTTGAGCGCATCTGTGACCGAGTAAATTGAAACACACACCTGCATGAGGGATCTACTTTGAGTCGCGCACAAACTAAATGCGTAGATAAAAGAGGATCGCTGTTCTTGTGAAATATCGATATGCCGTTACTTAATGTCCCAGTTTCCCGGAAAAATTCCAACGGTTGATAATTATCAAATCCAGTTTTAAACTACAATTCAAGGTCACACGCCTTAGTTTGAGTGCTGAGGTGGCCATCTTCAAGTCTGCCAAATTAAGGCAGCATTCCGAGTGATATACGGTTACTGCAAATAATGCCATAAGAGAATTCGCAGGCGGTCCTTCTCGTGCATTCAACAGTACGAGCTTTAAAATTTCCGAGAGACCGTTTTTATGGTAAAATATCAAAATATGAGCTGAGATCTTTATAAATCAATTTTGTAGACCAAATTTCTGGATTGTGGCTTTTAGAAATGCGTCTAACACAGGTGCATACCGACGACAGTTTTGAAAAATCAATTTTATTGCCAGGCACGATTTTCGCATTGTATAAAATTCAGCTTTTCACCTCTGCAAAAAAGGCAAATTTAAAAATGAGACCTTAGTGTTGACGTCCATAACATATATAAGGTGTATCTCTTTTCCCCCAAAATGATTGTGCAAATTTTGTAAAATAACTAAACAGTATTATTAAATTGGGTTGAGCATAGATCCGTGTTTAAGATGAGTAAAGAGCCGCCCGCTCAGTGAGCAATACGCGATCAAGCAGACGCCACACTTGACTGACGTTCGACGGATTTATTGTTCTGATGTTTTTCACAGCAGAATGGTCATTCAAATATTCTGGGCCTTGCTACAAAGACCGTCCTTAGGATTCTGCCAATCACTCTTAATGTGTGGGAATATTGACTTGAAATTCTCGCGTTGCGATCAGTTCATCGTGATACTCTTTATTGTACGGCTTGATTTAGTCCCATATCCGATAAAAACATACAGTTGAGAACTAACTTTGCACACCGACAACGATGCGAACCTGAAACACTTTCTAATTAAATGAGGCGGATAAATGTGTGTGCAAACCCTAAGGGCCACAGCTTTCTACGTGCGTGGGTGCTTAAACCAGAAGTTTAGTGAATCGACCTAATTAGACCGATCATTGTATATTCAGTCCTATTGCTTGCATTACAGGGGAAGAGAGCCAAATACTTTGCTTAGTAAAATCCCTGGTGAAATCACTCATGGAGAGAATGTACGTACATACGTCACCCTGCACAAACTTCAGACGACAGAGTTCTCGCTTCCATAGCAATTTCCAAACTGATAAGTAGAGCTTGTGGTTGGCGACGAAAAAATGTGGTTGAGCAAAGGTTCATGGCCACACCCGAAGGGTTCAGTCAAACAGGAATATACGGAGCCAGCGCCCAGCCCGAGTGGTCGTTCGTCCTTTACTTTTAGCATGACTGATTTATAATAGTGCAGTTTATTTTAGTGCAGATAGGGCGGGCACATTCCATGTATGTATGCAATTGTACAAGTCAGCTACCTCCCTCCCCTACCGGTCTTAGGGGGACTGCGTGGGCTGGGTCAGATACTGAAATCCTAGTTACTTAGCCCCACCGTCCGGCCATATCTGCTCCTGTCCAATTCGGATTCCGCATGCTCCTACACACATAAAAACCGATATTCTACATTTGTCTATTACTGTTCTGCCCAAGGTTTGTCAGCGCCTGCTGTGCCAATATCAGCAAACCATGGCCCTCGCAGCCCAGTGTGCGCTGGCAGTTCTCCGGTTTCTGGTTCTCTGGCGGTAGATGCGCTTGCGTTCCGGCTGGATATACAGGTGGTGGGCATGACTGCCCAGCCATCCTCGTCCTTCGTACCCCTGTTGGGGTGCTGTTGTTGGTTAAAGTCCTGGTCAAGTGTATGTTGTGGACCAGCGGGTGTGGAAGCACGCCTATATGCGGGTCTGGCCGTGCTAGCAAACGGCATCCTCCCCTGCCTTTGGTTTCCTTGCCTCTATTTTGACACTGGGTCAAGGTGGTGATTGGGGTAGAGAGAGTGCGGTAGATGCTGCGCAAGTCTACATCCACAATAAACTTCTCCACGTGCAAGCCACCGTGCCTGCTGCACCCTGCTGTGTAGCACACGGTGGACATCGTCGGAATCGACTGTCGAACTTGGGCGTCGGCCACCAATTATAGTTAGGAAGTCTTCATGTGCTCCACTTATGTGATACACCTTGGTTCCGTTGTCCATAACACGTTCACACTTCGAAACGGGATACCCTTACCTGATCTTTCTGTTTCCTTCCGAAGCGCTTTCCAAGGTAGCTTGAATGAACTGTCGGCACTACTGGCTATCTGACTACTTTTCCCAGAAAGTTCGCAATGATCCCTGACCTCTTGCGTCTTCTCAGTCCATTTTACCGTCATTCTACAGAGGTGTCGAAGTACGATACTCGACAGCGGGGAGTGTACACACAGAAACACAACCAGTTGTAGTCAGCGTTCTCCCTGCGCGAGTGTCGGCCGAAGTGTATGCGTCCGGACTTCCTTCGGTTGGGGCCAATCTATGAGGAGATAAATATCCGTCGGAGCCACGGCGTCGGAAGCCAGAGACTGCGTCACGCGCGTTAGGTGGGCCGAAAGCAGTATGAATAAGTGGTGGCGCTGACGGCCGTGAGAGTAGGCACCTACAGAGGCAAAATCCACTCCCAGTATCTCATCATACATACATCCTAAATGAACTCCTCTTGTCCCTCAGAACCTTCTAGGTTGGACGTACGTGATTGGACATTCGCCAGCCTATTTGCTCCATGTCGTTTACAGTTTGTTTCTTGGACACACATAATGACAAAATAGCAGGCAGTTTTAAAGTCGCCAGGACAGGCGTAATCCAAGCTGTCATCCTCTTTCCCCTCTTGAGTTTAGCGTAGATTCGGGAATGCTCTTTTGTCGGCAAGGACAGCTCGTTTTGCTGTTCTTCAGTACTGGCCGTGCTTCGTCGTATTCGACCCATTCAGTTGAACACCGTAATGCCAAACACACACACACACTCGCCCACTACATTGGCTGAATATAACTCCCACACAGTAGTATTCGAGCAGCCAAGTATGAAAATGCCTATCAGTGGACATCACTGTGCCAAGTGGCCATCCAAATCCAGTACAATCTTGTTATATTTCCAGCCACTGAGCGATGGTGTAGCGTCAGGAACATGTGCGTACCCGGGGTCTTGCAAGTGCTGAGTATGCGCTGGCAGTTCCCTGACACCTGGTTCCCTGCCGGTAGATGCGCTTGCTCTCCGGCTGGGTATACAGGTCGTGGGCATGGCTGCCCAGCCATCCTCGTTCTTCTTACCCCTGTTGGGTTGCTGTTGTTGGTTAAAGTCCTGGTTAAGTGTTTGTTGTGAACCGGAGGCCGTGGTGGTGCGCCTAGGCGCGGGTCCGGCCGCACCAACCATCTGCGCCCTCCCCGCCTCCCGCTCTCTTGACTCTGTCTCCAAATCGGATCCAGGTGGGGAGGCGGAGAGAGGGCAGTAAATGCTGCGAACGTCTACTCTCACTATACACCAATTGGCGTATAAGTCACCGTGCCTGCTTTACCTTGCTGTGGTGCACACGGTGGACATCGTCGGATGCAACGGTCGAACTATCATCAATACTGCTTTGTTGTTTACTGCCCTACCGGTGTTTAAGAGCCCTCATTTAACTTTTGTTGAAATGTGGGAATCAATTTCAAAGCGAGTAACCGCTAAACTCACTGTACTTGAAGGTCTCAAGCTCTCCCGAAAATATTTGCTTGCAAGAAGGACGGCGATATTTTGTCCTCTGCAGCATGTCATTTTTGGCAAAGACCGTGTTGGACTGGTTCGTGGGTATTAATTTAAATTCTTGCTACTTTTCAGACAGAACACATGCGGCAAGTTAAAAGACAGAGTCTCCCCCACCTAGTGGAGTGTATTTCATGCCGACCGCGGAAAAAGCGCTAAATACGATTCCTGTTTTCCTATTCGTTTTTTTTCTAATTTTAGCACCTTTGCAAACAAAGTAAAGGGGAACTGCCTTTGAAGTAGTCCCGTCTGCTAAATACCGTGTGCGTTCCAATTGCAGTGTGATTGCTTGCTTTAACTTTATGAACGTACAAGGGTGTTAAAATCTTATTAGGAAAATCAACAAAAGGCAGTATTACGTAGTCGGTTCTGAGCACTCGAGTTCTGAAATAAAACTCATCAGGGTTAAAAGAAGGAGGTATGTGATTCTTTAAATTCCGTGACCGGCGTATGTCACACAACAGACGAGATAGTCAGTGCTATTTTCCATCTAGGAAGTCAATCAAGCTTTATGACTAAAAGATCTTCGTCTCCCTAAAAGGGCAAAACGAGGAAAGACAGTATAATTGGGACTGGCGAATCCAGGTTGCTTTGGGCGAATTTTCTCACTTTCGCAAATGAGTAGTTTAAGCGACTCGGGGTGAATGTGTGCCGTGGGGTTGTGGGATAATGCTACCGTTAACCGCTCAAAAGAATGCAAGATTGTGATTCAGTTTACGGCTATAATATAATTTTTAGACCACAGTCAGCCTCTCCGCCCGCGGTTAGCAAAGCATTTTCATCCCTGCCAACAGTCCAGATGTCAGTCCTATAGAAAAGCTTTCTGTAGTAATCAAACGAAGTTAGTGTAACACAAGAAGACGTTTTTCATTAATGAGAAGGCGAAATATTTGCATAATAATTGTGTAGAACTGTCCAATACAGGTAAATTGGCAAATTCTTTGTCCTCTCGGCTTACAGCCTATTGCACACAACGTTGGCAATCCACAAAGTACTAGTACTTTGTATTTTTCGTTGTTTTTTTCGTATTCCTGCAGGCTTATTATACTCCTCTTTCTTACCGCCCGGTATATGCAGACATCAGAAGACGATACGTCATAAAGTCGGTTTATAAAATGATGGTTTTCCATGAAATAAGTCATTTCTCCACCGTCACTGGAGATTACCTGCTTGACCCTGAAAATAGTTATTGTGGTTGTTTTCGATAACACTCTGGAAAGTTCAACAGTTATCACGTCTAAGATCCTTGAGGACTTTTATGAACACAAATTCGAATGAATTGACATGGATACTTATGGATGCATATCAACGCGCTCTTATGTATTACCGGACGGAATATTTTGGTTTCGATGTTAGGGTGCAGTTCTTAAAAGGATACCTTTCAAAGGCAGGTCCGGTTTTCAAAAGCTACGCGTTTATGCCCACTTAAGCTAATGTTAGATTATCTTAGACATGAGGAGACGCCACTCATTTTCCCTTGAAGAACGGCCGTTTATTTAATGCAGGGTAATTTTCTTGGATGGGGGGGGGATGTTGAAAGAACTTTAAATGCAAATCTTCTGACTTTTCTTGTGCTACGTCACTAACTGTATATATTGTATAACTGTAACAGCGCACGCGCAAAGTAAGGTACGGTAGAGGGCTAACTCATGAAATGTCTGCCGAAATTTGAAATGCGTTTTCGTCTCAAAAAGATTAATTAAGGTTGTAAAAGTAGTCAGCCTGCAGCATGATCCTATAATAATTCCATTACCTCAGGATGCCGACTTTCAAATTAACGTCTTTCCGGTCGCATGAAAAAACCATACTCTTCAAAAATGAATACTTAAGACGCATTCATTTTTCTCATTGATTTTCGATGCCCTTAAAAATTTAATTATATTTCATGCAAAAAGTGCATTAGAAAAATTCATTCTCTTGCCCATTTTGTAGGAATTGACGTCCTCTTTCAAGTTTATACTCGAAGATAGTGTATAATTCGGTTTAAGAAAGTTTCTAATTGTGTGATTTTTTAATACCGTTAGATGGCGGTTCACAAAACCTCATGTGTCTGCATTTACCAATGTGGCTTGTAAAGTTAACAATATGACTCAAATTCACTGCCAGATTTATGAACCCAATATAGTCTCCTCTTAATACCGTACAGAAATATATGGTTTTTAGCACGTGGAAAATATACGGTTTGTAGTTTGGAAACCCTGAATTATAATGCGACGGCAGGTGGGGTTCGGAATTATTCGGGAATTCGAAAAGCTTTTGAAAACCAAATGATACCCCTCCTACCCGTATAAGACTGGAAGACGACGTAAATGTCTATGGAATGAGCAAGAGAATAAATATATTTATGCTTGTTTTTCATGAAATATAATTGCATTTTAAAGGTCATCGAAAATCGATTAGAAAATGCATGCTTTTTAAGTAGTCATTTTTTGGAGAGTATGGTTTTCGAAACGAAAACACATTTCGGAATTTCGGTTAACATTACATGAATTAGCCTAGGTACTGTATGTTGGATGAAAAAATATAAAGTTTCTGTTGCGCTATCCCTAAAAAGCAGATGTTTTTTGCTGTTTGTGTAATTAAGGGCAGTAAGAAAGACCTTATGCTGTAAGATGGGGGTTCACAGTCATTGCATAAGGGATCCCTGTAATCGTTTCACTGTTGATGCATAATTTATTGTGGACACTTAATGCCTGGTGGATTCGGACTTACGCATCCTAGATTGGATTCAGGGGACTTCCCTATTGGACGTTGCCTGTGGCATTCAAACTTACTTGCTTTTGACAAGTGTCGTATGTAATATCTACACGTCCGGACTGCGCTTCCCGTCTTTTGAGCCGCCGAATTTCTTGTATTGCCGTCTCAACACTTATGCACACTCTGAACCTACTTCATATCTTGTTGAGAATATACAACAATCATGTTTGAGATAGCTCGTGAAACTTAGAAGAAGAGGACACCATTAATGGACGCTGACCCTTAGGTTCGTTAAATAAAAAAATTATCAAGAAATTTTTGATAAATTATGTTTAATGTTTGTCATCCACTCCGGTTTTTTGCTACATACCATGAAGACACTTTTTGCTGCTCATTGCAAACGATCAGCTGAATGTGTGAACTTGGTTAGAGTAAACAAATATCGCTCAGTCACTATTTCATTCAATTTTATTAAACTGCAGGAAGGCCAACAATTGCAGTTACGTTTTCTTTAAGACCCACACATGTCTTTAGTGTTTAATGACAATTCACACTGTTCCCCGAAAAGGGGCTTGCTAGTTCCTAGGCCCTGCTGGCACTACTGGGTCAACTCATTCAGTGAGCTTCCTTCGGGGGTTTCCGTACGCATTTGCCGGTCGAAGCGATGGTCAGATCAGGCTGACACTTGTCGTCTTGGTGGTTGCAATCTGTCAGAGGTTCGGGCAATAGCCGTGGGCGACGACATGAAGAGTACTACACAGCGGATTGATTCTTTTCAGGCCACTCCGCTAGTTAGATGTATGCTCTGTAAAATTAAACCAATATTACTCAGCTAATGCGGCAGATTGCACGGTTATTTAAATTTTCTTCAATTTTCAAAAACCTGCCTTAACATAGAAGACGCCCGCTTCGCGCTGCTACAGTGACTAACCGATCTCATGAAATGTTGGCCCAAATTCTAAAATGTGTTTTCGATTAAGGAAAATTATTTAAGTGGGTTTGTAAAATTGATTATTGTGCAGTATAATCCTATAGTATTTCTGACTCGTCAGCATGTCGGCTTTTGTATGCACTTCTTCTCCACCTTGTCCAAACGCCACACTCGCTGAAAAATGGCTACTTAAGTAGCATAAATTTTTCACAGATTTTTAATGGCCTTATAAATTCAAACATATCTTGTAGAAAACATGCACAAAAACGTTCTTTCATTTACTCGCCTTGTAGAACATCATATTTTCTTTATATTTTATACTAAAAGAAAGTGCGCTTTTTGAGTTTAAAAAGTTTCAAATTATGAAATCTTTTAAGACCGTGCAACATTCATTCATACAGCATCGTACCTGTCTGTTCACCAATGCTCCTCGTGAAATTTACAACATAATCCGCATCCATTGCTAATTTTATGAACTCTATATGGTGTTTTCCTAAATGAATAGAGGAATGTGTGATTTTCATTATGCGGAAATCATGCAGTTTGTGGACCGAAATTGCTAAACGCTGGTGCAACGTTTAATCAGACTTAAAATTATTCGGGAATTTGAGCACGATTTCGAAACCCAAATATACACTTCCTACGGGTATACAATGTGAAGACAGTGTGATTTGCTACCGAATGGGTAAAACAGAATATACTTTTGCGCATATTTCCTACAAAATATATTCGAATTCATAAGGCCATCGAAAATCAGTGCGAACATGCATACTAGTTAGGTAGTCATTTTTTTACCGAACGCAGTTTTTACAGAAGGTCGAAAAGAAGAGCATCCAAAAGCTTACGTACGGACGAGTCCAAAATACTATAGGATTACGCTGCACGATAATTAATATTATAACCCCATTTAAGTTATCTTCCTTCATTGAAAACGCATTTCAGAATTCTGGCCAACATTTCATGGGATTGAGCTCTCACTGTAGTAGCTTCGTGGCGCCAAAGAAACGACCATTCTTACAGTGAGACGTGATTAGCTGTATTAATTTTTATTTGATATCCATAGAGCACTTTTTGCGTACAAATGTAGAATTGTGAAAACAAACACATTAAAGTCTACCTAGTGAAGGTTAGATAGCAATACTACAGAGCAAGGAGGGATTCAGTAACATGGAAGAATTACGAAAAATGACAGCGACTACAAAATATCAGTACTTGATCAGTTGTCATGTTGCATACAACTCATTTATTGCCACAAATGCAAGAAGCCTGTCAATAAAGGAGTGATCTATGCAACTATCAAATGCAAGATTCAGTTTCACCCCACTAATAGGCGGGAAGATTGTTTCGGGAGGATTGAGGCGGGAGCTGTTGGAATGAAATTGGTTGGAAAGATTCAGACGGACTAGCTGACACTTTTCCAACAAACTTACTGTAGAACCGAAATCGTTAGTAGAAATATATATAGTCTGAGTGACAAATACCTTGTTGTTGACAGTGTTCGGTGTTGGCCACTGGAGCGGTCGCTCGTTGAACGTAATCAGCCAAAACATCGGACGCCGACAGTTCCTGAAAGCTGTGATGGGCGCATTGTGCTCCCGTCGGAAGTTGCTCTCGCATTTGGTCAGATGACCCATCTTCGTCCAAAAAAGAGATCTCATCACGTAAACAACTGCTCTTCCACGGCAATTATTGGCGACATAAACACTCTTCAGCAAATGAATACATTCTCCAGTTAGTGACATAATTAAAATGGCAATGAAATGGTTTTATGCAAATGAAGACCGTATTCCTTCATCCTATTCCTAATTGTGCGTAGACTGAAGAATAGTCTTCATGAGTAGACCTAACGACATAGAATGAAATTCCTCTGATATACATACTGGTTTTTCTGATCTCTTGTGGACAGTTCTGGCTTGTCATAAGGGCTTCCAGATACCGTTTTGTTGTCAGAACATCACTCATGACGATTCTCGAACACACTGACCAATTCCACGATTAACGCATCAGTATTTTTTGAAGTGCATTTTTTACTCTTATTCTGCTTTCACTCAAAGACTGAGGTTTTTTGAAAAACCACTTGTTAGTAAATGTGTCTACGGAAGACATTTCTGGCGGAGATTGACCAAGAGATCACGCTAGTCAGGAAATTGACCCAATTTTGCATACCCATGAGTTTCAGATTACGGTGGTTTTGCGTCCAGCGATTAAAGGTGATGTTTTTAAACAGCTCTCTTAAACTTCGGCGACTTCAGGCGCTGCCCGTTTACTGATTCCAGACCATTCAGGTCACGGGTTTTCGGAAACCGGTCCAGTCTACCTGATTTTTTATCCATCCACTTAGTGTTCCTTTTTATAAGGAACAGGTAAGTGTCATCGTATGGCTGTTGTTGACTTGACCACATATGCCATTTAGGACATCCGAAATTAAAGGACTTAATTAAAGGAGGGAAAGAAATGAGAAAAAAGTAGATTTGCTTGTGTGAAATTATAATGTAAAAAACATAAAAAATCCAAAATTCACACAGTTGTTATCAAAAGATCTCGTTATATATACAATGCGAATCAAAAAGCCTTAAAAGTACCACAAATATTTACAAATTCTGGAAACATAAGATGACCATGTGCGTTCACTTGAATGAAAATGTTCATAAAAATTGAATCACCATGGTCACAGTGCGAGGTTAAAGCGATTTCTCAGGCACGAGTCTCCCTGATTTCGCATATATTGAGACACAGTTACGTGGATATGGGTCAAAAATGGATTCCCAGCATTCCTCATGTGGTTTGTGATGAAAGATTTTTGCGCATTTAAATGACAACTTTGTAAGCTGCCCGAAAACTAGTGTTTCAACTTGTAACGCGTTCTTTATGATACGACATTTCTGGAATAGTTGAACTGGATTTTCTCAACTTCACGAAAACCGCACAATATTCACGAGCTGCTGGCCGGTAGCCAGAAATGTGTAAATGCACACTGGAGTTGGATTCACAGTGTTCCAGCATATGGGCCGAAGTAAATGTTCGGGCGTCTCTTGATGCAGCTGTGAAGCGCTGGCCTGGTCAAGGGATACCACAACCTTCCCATATGCTTTTCGATATGTGATTGCGGCCATCCTTCTATGGTTGGACTTTGCATTTGAGTAAAGCTTTAATTATAGGACTTTTTGCGGTCGGATCTTATTTCGTAGCCGTGCCTGCAGTAGACAAGACCCAGTCTAGCCCCTAACCCTAACCCCTAACTTCTAACCCCCAAACCCAAACGCTAACCTCAACCACTAACCCCTACCCCCTAACCCCAACCCCCATTCTTAACCCCTAATCCTTAACCCAGACTCCTAACCCTGATCCCTGTAGTTGACAGCCATAGTGGAAACGTTGCGCCTCTCGCTAGCGCCTGCACCTACGCCCTAGCGACAGCCTGCTACGGCACACACGTCCACCCGGCTTCTATTTGTCTCGTTGCAATTCACTGTCTGCACCACGCATCTGGTCGATTCTCTGCCTGCATCATGCGAGGCTTGTCACTACCTTCGCGTGGGCTCGGAGCCAATCAACGCACCACCTCTCGCTGATTGGTACATTGGCGAGAACAGCCAGATCACTAGCGTAGACAATCTGCCACGACACTTTTGCAGCGGCGACCTTCGGCGACACACGGCTCGTTGCTCTCGCGGGCGTCGCCTCCGCGGCACCCGACGCATCCTCGTCCGGTTGCCACCTTCCCTTCACTATTCTGTACAGAACAAATAAATCATCTTCTACCCAACCGGCGTCCCGCTTCTTCCAACATGGGATATGGCCTGAAGTTGTGGCGTACTGAGCATACACCATCACCGCCTAGCCGCTACACCCCTAACTTCAATCCCTAGCACTTAACGCCCAAGCCCGACGCCAACCCCAACCCTAATCCCTAACCCTAAAAGGTACGGCCAGGAGATAAGATCTTGCCCCTTGTACATCCACACTGACATAGCCGTTGTTTCAGTCGAGTTTTGTAACTTTTAGTGCGATGGGCATATATATAATATGCACTAACTGTGAGGGCAAATGCGCGTATGACTATGTTGGTGCACTGGATAACGCAGCTGCAGCAATTCCTATACATTACCATATAATCCACGCTAGGTCTTTTTATTTCCTCAGTACTTAACATAAGAAAATTGAAGTTAAATCAACCGGAATGTGTTTACCAGGTTCTCCCCAAGTATTCTCATAACTATTTTGGCTGAATAAATTCACCCAGAATTTAACCACCGCACAATATTCACACGGCGCAAAGGACATCCAACAGTGTATAAGCATGCATGAAGACGTGTCTGCCAAATAAACTGGCCAGCCAGACGTACATTTTATCGATTCTCTAACGGTGGATAGCGCAGCTGCTTGCGTTTTGGCTTAAAAAGAATTCTCTAATGGTTCGATGCGTTTTTCTCCAGCATACTAACTAAATAAATTTGTAGTGCGTGGCTTTTTAATTCCCCCCCATTGGGACCATTTTAGATTCCAGAAAAGTCTTCGAAACATGCCTGCTCAACTTTGCATCAGAATATGTTTTGTGTATTTGGACAGAGCTCCGTTAGTTTTGTCGGTAAAGCCGAGCAATATTTACAAGTTTATAGTGCGTAGTTAGCGAAAGATAAGTTAATTGAAAAAGGTAAAGACGGCAAGCGAAAGTATTTGAGTAATAACAATTTGACATGGAAAAAGAGAAAAAAAGATGAAAATCATTTGCTCCTGCGGGACAGGGATATTGGTCGATTTACGTGATGCTAAGTTGGCTTGAATCGGACATTCTTTTAGATGAAGTAAACCCGGTTAGCACAGCATGAACTTTCTGTTCGGTAAAAGGCAGGATGGGAAAATTTGCAGGGGTGTATTCCGCCAGAAAAGAAACTTCGGCTGCTGTCTAGCCAATAGAGCAGATGGCCAGAGAAGGAAGATATTTTCGTGCAAAACGGCGCCGTTGATGGCTTTCCCGTTATTGTCAGTCCACATTATTTGATCGTAAATGCCATTCAGTGTTCGCTAAGGAATGTTTGATTGCAGATATGACAGAAGATCAACCGTGTTGTAGTTTTGCTCACGGTAAAAATCCACATCTTATGAAGCAGCAGCAGATACGCATGGTGATGACATTCCCAGTTGATTGAGAACTTTGTTCGCGATTTCTACGTACATATCCTCAATCATTACTAAAGTCGCATTATAGATTTCTGCTCTGAAATCCACGTTTGAATTTTCCTTGGATAGTCAACGGAAGATATCTTTAGTCATGGGCGATTTATATTTCTCCTGTTAGTCTGTTGAAGATGAAGGAGAGCAGACGGTCAGTATGATTGCAAACAGTGCGCGAATTTGATGGGGATGGGATGCTTTGCACGCGTCATTAATACCTACATCCCAGTGTCAGTCGTTATCCAGTAAATTGATAGCCAGACATACACTAAGGAAAGTGGCTTTTTTAATTTTTCCGGTGGCGCAGCACATTCCTTTAGTTTCTCCGTTTAATTCCACAGCCTTGCAATAAGGATACACTTCAGTCATAGTGCCAATGTGAACATGCCGGCACAAGCAATAATCATCCGATGGGTTGCACTAGAATGCAAGGTGATTGTAGTCGCGTGAATGCTGAGCAGAGTCGTGCCTGACACTGATCTGCTGTTTCTCGCTGGCGTCTTTCGGCCACTCTCAACTTTTCATGTTCATTCTGTTGAGAACGAAGCAGATATGAAACTGCAGAACGAGGTCTCCGTGACCGGGCATCCTCAAGCCGGGCCGCACGACACGGGGTGACAGCCGCATTATGTGGGTTGTGCAGGGCGGGGAAGGAGTTGGCTTTAACTGCATCCGCCCACGCCCTGGAATCTCAGCGGAAGCGGTGACAGCCCAGTTCTGTGTGTTGTGAGGCAAGTTCAGCTGGAGCCCAAGAGTTGCATGCTTTTTCTTACCTGTGTGTGGTTTGTCCTAGCGGCCCATATTGCATCGGAACAGAGGGGGGGGGGCATGTTCAAGTATCTGCTGGGTGGGTGGTGGAGTGAGCGCGGCCGTCTGCTGGAGCACATGCATTTGGGCGCACGTTTGTCCGAGTGCCTGCCGGTCAAGTGGCTACAGACTGAGATGCGTCAGTAGTTGGCGTTGTTATGCCAGAAAAAAAATCATGTTTTTTATCCGTCACAGGCGTGCCATCTGCATGATTATGAAAGTAGACATAAAATAAACCCGGCCCTATGCGCGGGCAAGGTTGTATCCAAATTTCAGTGCAATCAGTGCAGTAATTTCGGAGCTTACCTATAACACACAGAAAAACACTTCCATTTCTATTTATATAGATATAAGAACATCTTCCATGAACAGGCGGCCATCGAGTTCTGCAACTGCGAGCATATACCTAGCACTTAGCACCGTTGCCTCGAGGGTATGGAAAAGATGCTCTTTGAGACCCCTCCAACATGCACTTACGCCTAGGTCATGCAAACCCAGCATTCGACAGGGCTGGCTAACGACACTTAATAAGTCAGAAACCACCATTCCAGCCTTCCTTGACTTTGTCGGCATTCTCTTTCCGTATATTATATATATGTTTGCATTTGCCTATGTCTAGGGTATATGCGCGCAGTTACAGAACTCGCTGGCCGCCTGTTCCTGGGAGATGTTCTTATATCTATATAAATAGAAATAGAAGTGTTTTTCTGTGTGTTATATATATTATATATGTTCGAAGAAGAATGAGTCCTTTGGGAAAATGAACAAACTTTATTTCGTAAATTTTCGAGTCTGGTTCCCCAGCTCGTCTTCAGACGTGTAGTAAGTGTGAAGAAACAGTCAAAATTTAAACAATGCCCAAAAAATCGATATTGCTCTGTCATGGCTGAGGATGGGTTAATGCTGTGGGCTGATGTCACGTCTTGATTGGCTATTGCCTTTTTCATTTTTCTTTGAGATTTGTGTACATGGTATCAAGGTCGATGCGTCGATTGATGCATGAATCATCAGAGTGAATGGCCTCTAGGAATTCTCGGCCTTCCTTATATATGCATCAATCGACGCATCGACCTTGCTACCATGTACACAAATCTCAAAGAAAAATGAAAAAGGCAATAGCCAATCAAGACGTGACATCAGCCCACAGCATTAACCCATCCTCAGCCATGACAGAGCAATATCGATTTTTTCGGCATTGTTTAAATTTTGACTGTTTCTTCACACTTACTACACGTCTGAAGACGAGCTGGGGAACCAGACTCGAAAATTTCCGAAATAAAGTTTGTTCATTTTCCCAAAGGACTCATTCTTCTTCGAACATATATATATATGTTTTAACGTACGTGTCAAGTAAGCGTGTGACCCTCACTGTTGCGGGTAGGATCTCACTGGATCCCATTCTGTCCGTCCGCCAGCTTGCCACTGGCGACATAGAACGCTGTATCATTGGACACATGCCACATATAATACATAAGCGGCTTACCTAGGCGTACCACTACACCATCTGGTCCACAGCAAAATTTTGACCAGGATTTTAACCAATAAAAACAATGTGAGGGGCCGGCAAGGATCCCGGTGACGCGACTTGGGCCGGCAACTCGGCATGACACCGAACCACGAATGTTGGCATTTGTTTTGGTGCGATTTCCCAATAACGCCTATCAGCATCTAATCCAGCTTCAGTGTTGACTCAACGTATCTACCGCGTGACGCGTTTTATGGGCACAGGGGTCACGATTCGCGGACGCTACATTTAGTTGTAAGGCGGAACGGAACGAAAGTGCCCAGTAACCTAATTGGTAAACAACAGCACCTCGATATTTTATATTTCTAACAGACAGGACAATGGCCCCCGGGACTCGGTTGCATATCGTTGGACTTACAGACGTTGAGTGACCATAGAATCGGGGTGTAAACGCCAGGCCGTCCAATCCTGGGGTTGCGTTTGGGTGACCGGCGACGGCCAGTAAGCCTGGAGTAACCACATTATTCATCTTTTTTTTCTGATGTTATTTTTACGCACGAATATGACAGCCAGTGACTCCCTGCAGTGTAGTCTCATTTTCATGCGTTGATTCCGTAAATATGATAAGGCTTATTGGTGTTTTATTAATCAAAGAACACTCAGAGGAAGCGCATGTCCTCGGATCGCTGGTGCCGAACAAACGTTTTACGGCAAAAATGCCGTTTTTCTCAACAGTAGTTGACGTGATCCTGAAGCTTATGCGGACAGGTCTCTGAAAATTATGTAACGCGTCTCGAGAACCTCAAGATTTCAAATTTATCCAAAGAATCATAGTTCGAAGTATAAAACTATGAATCCTACAGGGCGCCAGATAAAGATTATAGGCGTGTGAACAGTGATAACAGAACAAATCGAAGGTCTGTATTTGCAGAACGAGATCAGTGTCTAATACTACAACCCGTGCATGCTCCGCGACGAGTACCTCAGCCAGCAATACTTACGCCGAACGGAATTATACCGAATCCGCAGCGAGTTCGGAAACGGCCATCTATCTGAGTTTGTAATTATCTAAATTAGTCTATCTTAGCCCTCGCGCTTCTGGTAAGGACACCTAACAATATTCCAAGGCCTACCCAAGACCAGTCACATGCAACCTCTAAAGAATTCATTATTCGACTAAAGATTTACTACGAGACGTACAATGGGTATGTTGAGGGAGGTACATTTGTCAGTTATTCTCTATTGCACGCGTCCAGTGTTTTTTCGCTGGTTCTGAAGACAGCAATACCTACGAGCGTAGCCTACATGAAACAGATAAATTTTAGCATCAAAGGCGTCTTGGATGCACCAATAATCCCGAAGGCCTACATACCTGTTCGCTTCTGGATTGTGTAGAAAGACTGAAAACGTCGTAGAAAGTCCCTAAACACACCGACGAAAATTCCTTATTTTTGGCTTTGTTGCGGGGCATAATTCTTAATGCGGGGCAACTGTCAGTCAAGGACAAATGCAAGACAAACATTTTGGATCCAGTTTCTACAGGCCAGAAGCTTTTCTGTTCAAATGACAAGTAGGCTGAAATCTGTTAGATCAGGGCTGACCTGCTGTTTGGCCTACCGATATTCGCGTCGTAAATTGCTGCAATTTCATTACGTGCGTTGGATGTTGGTGTGATGATTGCTCGACCACCTGATGCATCGACCCTGGAGTTGGGAAAAGAGTTTATCCGTGCGTTCCCCGCGTGGATAATTACTCCGCCTAGGCGAAGTCTCAGCACCGAGTATGGAAGGGAAGGTCATTGCACTTGTTAATGGATAGGAGGCCAGTAAACCATAACTCCTGTTGCTCCCAGATCGCGCGGTTGTCACCCCTTACGAGAATTTCGACCTCGTTGAATTTGAATGTGTGGCCGGATCTCATTGAGTGAGACGCAACTTGAGAGCTGTCATCATTTCTCCATACCGCTGCAGCGTGTTGGGCCATTTGCGTTCGAAGCTGTCTTCCGGTTTCTCCGACGTAGTTGCTTTGTCCGCAACTGCACCACATCCGATAAACGACTCCAGACGTTTCTAGCTGTGGCAGCGGGTCTTTTGGTCTTGTGCATGAACCACCCCTATCTGCCTTTGTCTCTGATGATGAGTACGAGCAGGAATCCGAAACGTCAGACGAATAAATCCCTTGTTCCGCCGATCGTGCCTCCTTCTTCAAGACTACTTCCTGGCAAAGTGACCTGTGTTTATTGACATCCTTGAAACTCGACGCGTGGTTATGTCAAGGTTGTGCGGTTGTGCGAAACGTAACCTCCAGTAAGTGGGAAAGGACAAGTAGCCATATAAAGTAAAAGGGTCTATTTGATCCAGCCAGTGTACACGACGTATGCACCTTTAAAGCTTATCCTGATTGAATGAACCAACACTCTAATGTGTGAAAGATGATTCAAAGAACAGCAGGAAGAATTCGCCAGAAAAAAACAAACATGGTCAAATATTTCATTTTTGTTGGTGTGCTTTTAGTATCCCAGAATCGCCTGAAAAATTTTCATCAGTTTGGAGAGTTGCATAGAGCTACATCAGCTGTGTTTTTGATCTCATTTATATCTGGTACCCCTGAGTTACTTTGCCTCCGCGTATTGGTGTTGATTTGGTCACCTGTCAATTAAAACTGTGTTCGGTAGACCGAAGTAGGAGTTTGTTTGAACCAAGTTAGACTTCCTTTTTTATCGATTTCCCGAAGACAGTTATTTCGAGTACGGAACGAGCTCGTTCCGTAACCTGATCGGCGAGCGCCCATCTATAATAATTGATATTCCCGATCACAACCTACGGGACAACGGGCCCGTGTCTCAATGGTAGAGCGTCAAACTCCATGACCAAAGATCCCGGGTTCGAATCTCAAGTGATCGACACTTGGAGCTGGGCATGACTGGCTGGTGACGGCTAATAAGCCAGAAATGGCCATTTCGGTCTCCCTTGTATTTTCCGGTTTCATCTCATACTTTGTCGAGCCCTATTCTTGTAAAGAAAGAATGCCTTTTATAGTAGTCTGGCTCAGTTACAGTTTGTTGAAGATGCGAATCAGAATCGGGCTTTTACGGTGAGAATTTATGTTCGATTAAATTACGTCGGTGACTACGGCATAATCCAAACAGCATGAGGTGCCTGTGCGGCTGAAGATTCCGATGATATAGCCCCTGTCTTCTCGAATTTTCACATCATATGTTTGGATACGCTCTTGAATTCAGCCCCCTCCGAGGGTCTCTCCAGGATTCGCAACTGTGATGCCATCGGTATGTCTGAAGATCTAAAGAGTTTGCAGGATAGAATGACTTTAAATCCTGTCTGTAGTTTTGAAAATTGACAAAACTTATTTGGACACTAAAAGTTACGTAGGTCGATTCGGAATCTAATGAACACGTTATAGCCCTTAACCAGCACTTGTTTAACCCGTTCGCGATTCTCTGTCTAGAAAACTTTAATCTGTCCTACAAATACATTAATGTGCCTGTACTCTACCGAACTTATAGTCAACTACCTCCTTTCGATCACTCCGTAATTTTGCTAAACTATTAGACAGTATAGACTAGAACTTTCTACACAACGGGCTGAGATTTAAATTATTGATGAAAACGGTAGCTGCCCTTATGGCACAGGGTTTCGGCTCACCTAATCAGCGTGGTACGTGCGACTGAAAGGACTTTGGAACTCGCAGCGAGCGCGCAGCCAATCCTTACGCTTTCCTCACGCGTCCACACCATGAGATGGAGGGTATGATAGCAGGAGCTGATTGCGCTGCCATTTTTAATTTCTTCATCCATTTGCGTACTTACGTCCATGCTGTCCATGGATCTGATCGTCTGTTTTTGAAATGTGCCGTTTTTTGACTTTCATGCTTGGCAAAAGGTCGTGCAAAAACTCGCAGGATGAAGAGAACTACTTAAAGTGCAGCGTAGTCCGTTGCTGGTCGCCGAATAGTTGCAGATCACGTTCTTTTTCTACAACATAATCTTGTTTTCTTCCAGGTGCATCGCATACCAGTTTCTGGGTGATGCAAATAAGTATTCGATATGTTTTATATTCCGCCTGCTTAAATAATTAAAGGCAGTAGCAGTACTTTTCAACTGCGCGTATTCACCTAAAAAAAACATCCTGATTCAAGCGTCTGCATGTGGCTCCCTGATGCAGACTGTCGAAGGGGGAAGAAACGCGCATGTGTCTATGAGTTTTTAAAACCTTTATTGCAGTTCAGTTTGGTGAGGCATAAAAGACTCAAACCAATGACGATCGTAACAGTAATTGCAACAACTACTTCGACTAGACGTCTCGTAAACATTTACAAATGCATCTGTTGCCGAAACGGTCGGTTAAATCCGTGATTTCCTAGCGACCAATCTGTAGGAAATATAAATATCGAAAAGCACACTCAAGGAACTGCTACCAAGATGCGCATTAGACGTGCATCTCCGTTGGAACAACGAACTGCATGCATAAAGAGACTGTGTTGGTGTTGCCTAGCCTCTTGGTTGTCACATAAACGACGTATTCATAGGTACGCTCAATAACTGTCAACTGAACGACGAAAATAATGGGCTGTAACATTAGGGTCTCTACTTGGGTGATATCTTTGTGACTACAAATACACAAAACCAATGCGAATTTTCTATTGCAGGCTGGAAAAATAGGCCGATCAGTCGATAGATCTTATGTTAGACGCGGAAACCGCAGGTCCGCTCAATTTATTCGACGTTCTATACAGAAATTTGGATTGAACAGTATAGGCATGCCTAATCATAAATGCACTTCTGGCGCAAAGGATTATCAACATTTGGTTGACAGATGGCATCGATGAAGACCTTGAGGAGGTGTAGAACCCGTTTTTCGACGACCGGTAACCCGACCGATTTGCTGTAAAAGTGCTACCAGTGATTGTGAAAACGGAAACCCAAATTCTCAAAGTTCTCCTTCAAGGAGACGTGGCTGTTTCAGGGCAGTGTCAGGCATTCAGCTTTATTCTGAACCTTCTTAAGTGGTCAGCTTAAGACCCGCAGCAATGTTATTTACTAAAATAAGTAAATGTGTGGCTATGGTTTACGTCCGGGGTCACTTATTTCGGGTAGAAACTGTACTAAAAGTAAATGACTGGCGATATTTATTTGTAGGTTTCAGAGAAAGGAATGAAAAGACCTCTCGGTGGCTGCTGCGTTAGGTTAATCAAGAGTGAAAATACGACAATGCGATGCCTATTTGGCAGTGCCTTCAAATCAGCATTAAATTTATTTATTATTGGCACTAAATGATAAAAATGGTGTCCTCTTTTGACTGGTGACAGTATGGAGGATCAAAATTTACAATACCACAAAGTTTCTGGATGTTCGGCTCTTTTCCTCAACACAATTGCTCCCCGGAGTAAGTGACCCCGGGCGTAAACCATACCCCTGCCCAAGTAAACATTGTGTAGTTAAGCTTAAAATCTTACTCACCTTCCACTCAGGCAAACACAAGCAAAATGAGTAAGTTCGCCTATCAATTGTATCTGGAGAAGTAGGCAAACCTGGTGTTTTTTTCTATTAAAATAAATTTAAAGGACATTTTTCAGTTTCTCCATCCTGTAACAAACATTATTCTAGAATGACTTTGTAGAAGAATCATTTATTTAGTCAGAAATGAGGGTTAGGACATAGCAGTTCTGCTGACAAGAAAGGCTGCTCACTCAGCCTGCCATCTCGAATCACAGTGCGCTCAAAGTCGTGTGCCCCCAATTAATAACGTCCCCAATAGGCCCTGCAGTAAAAGGCGGCATCATTACTTCCAGAAAAGATACATCCCTGCACCTAACCTGACGTTCATCCGAAAACGAAAACCCCCCTTCCAGCTTCCCCCAGCTATTCGTTTCAGTAATTAAACACCTACTCACTAACGCCAATCGGCACTTTGTCATTCTGTCAGGAGAAATTGAAAAGGAGGGGGCTTGTGGACGCGGGCAATTTTCTGCTCTAATTTAGGCCTATAACCCAAACACCTTAGCTACTGTATCTAAAAAAGTGCATGCCGCGTTTGAGTACAGACTCATCAGACTGTCGTGCGATGCACACATGATGATAATCTGCTGTTGCAGCTAACTTCCATTCGAGTGAGGCATGATTCATGGCAAACAGGGCATGAAAATGGTGGTATTCGTAAAGGCGCTTCACGTGCTCATCAGTGAAGATATACTCGACAGCTTTTTCTGTCGACCACAAGAGAACAGCGAGTGGAAGTTCCTGCCAGCCTGTTAAACTGAAATTTCAGTGACGCGGTGAGGAAACACTCCAAAGTACAGTGGGTGGGCTGACTCATGAAATGTCAACCAAAATTCCGAATTGCGTTTCCGTTCCGAACAGATTAATTAAATAAGGTTGTAAAACTAGCCGGCCTACAACATAATTCTATAATATTACATTTACCTCAGAATGCCGGCTTTCGAATGAACTTCCATCCGGCTGCATGCAAAAATTGCACTCAGTAAAAAAACGACGACTTAAGTAGCATGGATCTTTCTCATTGAATTTCAATGCCCTTAACAATTCTATTATACATCATGGAGAACATGCACAGAAATATTCATCCTACCGCTCATTCGGTAGACAATTACGTCTCCTTCCAATATTATAAACAAAGGTAGGGTATAATTCGGTGTACAAAAACACTTCCAATTCCCGAATAATTTTGAACACGCTCTACCGTTACACTTGGATTCAGAGTTTTCAAACCACAAGCCGTATATTTTCCGCATACGGAAAACCACACATTTCTCTACGATTATAAAGGGGGACCACATGGGGTTCATACAATTTAGCAGTGGATTTGATCCGTATTGCTAACTTTACAAGCCACATTGGTAAATGCAGAGACATGACTAATTATGAACGGTCGTCTAACGGTATTTAAAAGTTCCACAATTAGAAACATTTTTAAAAACAAATTATGTCCTTCCTTCGAATATAAAATTGGGAGAAGACGTAATTTTCTACCGAATTAGCAGGGAAATGAATATTTTTACTCATGTTTTCAATGAAATATAATTGGACTTTAAGGGGGATCGAAAATCAATAAGAAAAAAGCATGCCACTCAAGTAGTCGTTTTTTCCAAAGTGTAGTTGTTGCATGCAACCGGAAAGGGTGGCTCCGGGATCTGCCCTGTTTTCAAAGCTGAATACGTCCGTTACGTTTTGTTTTTTATCAAATGCCTAAGGCTTTCACGGGCGCCCTCTTGACCGTGTCCAATCAGCAACTGAGGACGGTTACCGAGACTAACCGGGGCGCCTGTGCCCGTAGTATAAACGGCAGGAGTCAGGGAATTTCGCTCTCATGCAAAGCAAACAATTTTTCGAGATAGTAATTTTATTTGGCTTCCCACTTTGCAATCGCAGACATACTACAGATGATTATATGCCTACGGACATTTTTATCTTATAGAAACTGAGGTTCTTTTTGTCGTTTTAAACTTTCAGCAATCTTCTGACAACTGTGACAGCAGTACTTTTTGTCCTTTCATAATTTACAGAAGCAGTTTGAGTGCTTTTCTCAACATCCTCAATATCTGTCTCGACAGCTCAGTGGCGTGCAAAGTGTTTGTGAATTATAGATAGGAACGCAGTTTGGAGGAGGTATCAGTCCTCAGCAACGTTATGTGAGTTTGGCTGAAATATAACCGACCCCCTCTTCATCTTCTCCATAGAATCAACCCCCAGACCTTACAGTAGGCTATGAAAGCGCCAACCCTAAAATCATTCAAAATACCTTGTTTAATGGTTTTCATAAGGCTTATGAGATCGGTACCAGCGATACTGTCATCCCATAGTAACGCGTGCATTTTCCGCTAAGCTGTGGATCATTTCAGCATTGGACCTGGTCTGATGATCTCATAAGGCGTTCCGTTTTCCATAAGAATACTTGAAAGGGGCATTACATGCATTTTTTGAGCTGTGTACTCGTACAATGGAAACGTAGTTTGGTATTCACTTTTTTCCAAAGGGCTAGGAACATTTGCTCCAATGACACACTGAATGCAGAACTTGTATGCCTCAAAGAAGCTCTGCTTAAGCGAGGATATCCTGCACGTTTCATTCACAAGTACAAAACTCTACACGGCCAAAACTGACAGAGCACTCAGTTCCGAAAAAGCCCGTTTTTATATATTTGTCCTCTAAGGACGACAATATTTTAAATACTATCAAACGACGGCTGCGTCCGACCATTGAAAGGAGATACAAATCAGCCGAACTCACATTATGCAGTCCTACTAAGCCTCTTCCATTTCCACGGGCGAAGCATGCCTTGCTAATGCACTCCACTTCAAATTGTAGTTATGAATTCACATGTACTGGTGGATGCAAGTACAATTGACAGTTGACAGCCTGGTCTATTGAGCACCTGCCCAGATGGCTCTTAAGGCAAGAAAATAAAATCCTGCGTTGCTCCATTACAAAACACCTGCTTCATAGTGGTCACTCAGTCGACCCTAAAACTTCCTTTCGAGTACATGTTCGGGCGCGACCAACTCGGACATTGCGTTACCTGGAGGCGGCCTATAATCGGCGGGTGAAACCAGATCTTTGTAAACAGTTGGAACACGTGGTTAGCCTAACCCTGTCATGGTAGCCTCTGGCTCCATGATTTTCACTTCCCCTTTCTTTTTTCTCGCCAACGCCTTTTTTCCGCTATTCTTCCCATACGGTGTTTGAGTTACTAACTTTATAGACTAGCCAGCTATACCTATGCAACGACCTTGTTGTTTCTGCATTGATTTTTTGCACGAATTCAAATCTGTTGTATTCTCCCCACTCGTTAGTTATGTGAGGAAGCGACAGGACACACCTGCCGAACTGTCGCGAAATCTTTGGTACTCCTAAATCCTGCCCTGCTTGCCTGCTTCAGCTTATCAATAGACGTCAATACCTATTTTGTTGGCATATAAAACTATTGCGTTTTCTTGTTATGCGGCATTGTAGCGTACGCTGCCACCAAGCGAATAAGTAAGATGAGCATACTTCTGAGTACATCTTTTGCCAGATAGACAAACTTACATCGAATGAACGATTATATTTCGCAGAAATAAATACAGTAAGCATGCTGTCGATGGTAACTTATCCGAGAAGGATAGTCAAATGCAGGTCTCTGTCCAACGAAATTAATTTGCAACCACGTAAGCATGGAGTTCTTGATGTCAAGTTATATTTCAGATTTGTCACTGATGGGACACTGTCTGCGAAATTTCAGCCTTTTCGAGCGCATACGGACCCTTAACGTATTTTCAATCGCTGCATAATGACGCATTGCTGATGGTTAGACAAACAAAAACAGCGCCAGGTGGGATTTGTCATCTGGTACGGCCACGAAATCATCATATGAACTGAGTCTGCTAATGGAGCCGAAACCGGATAGGTTTTAGAGCGCTCTGCGCCCAGGCCAACGGGCACACCTCCACGCATTAAGCAAAGTTTTTTGCGCACCTGAAGCAACATCACTAATCTTGGTACGGCCCAATTGCATCGTCAAAAGGTCGTTCACACGGGGCGCACACTCACCTAAGCTGCCAGATTTGCAGAGAAAGCATTTAGAGCAGAATGACAAAAAGTAGCCAGGACAGAACACTGAAGCAATTATGTAGATTTTTCTTGAGTTTGGGTCGGCAAATACTGGAAACATTTTGCGAGGGCAGCTATTAATGACGTAGCTGATTGTTGGGGCTTCCTGTTCCGTTTCTGTGTTGACTCTGCTAACGTCAGAGCCACCACAGAGGCAGTGTTTTGTGAATAATTTTCCAGCAATTGCGTTTGACGCACATGGATCAATGACCTTGTCAGTCTGAAAAAATGGTTCAGGCGCGGTCGGGGCCTGTCCTGTTAGACACATCATTGCCGAGTTTGAGTGGTCGTTATGATGGTTGTGGCATTTTTTGAAAACTGTTCGTCCCGTCGAAATGCCAGCTGATCACACTCGTTGTCGAGGCAAGTACTTGTAAGGTAATTAGAGTAGGTGGGCTAACTCATGAAATGTCAACCGAAATTCCGAAATACGTATTCGTTTCGAAAAGATTAATAAAGAAGGGTTGTAAAACTAAATCACCTTGCAGCATAATCCTATCCCAATTCAGTTAACTCAGGATGCCTGCTTTAAACAAACTTCTTTTTGGCTGCACGCAGCTACTGCACACTGTAAAAAATGACTACTTAAGTGGCATGCATTTTTCCCATTGATTTTTGATGTCCTTAAAAAGTTAATTATATTTCAAGGAAAACATGCATAAAAATATTCTTTCTTCCACTCAATCGGTAGCAAATTACGTCATTATTCAATTTTATACCCGAAGAAAGGGTGTAACCCTGTGCACAATCTTTTTCAATTCACGAATGATTTTGAACTCCACCTGCCGTTACACTTGAATTCGGGGTTTTCAAACTACAAGCCGTATATTTTCCGCGGACGGAAAATCGTAATTTTCTCAATGGCATTCGAAAAAGATCATATGGGGTTCACAAAATTTAACATTGGATTTGAGCTTTATTGTTGACTTTGCAAGCAACATTAGTAAATGCAGAGACATGACGTTTTATGAACGGCGATTCCACGGTATTAAAAAATCTCGCAATTAAAACCAAATTATACCTTTCCTTCAGGTATAAAATTGAAAGACGTAATTATCTACTGAATGGGCAAAAGAATGCATATTTTTATACATGTTTTCCATGAACTATAATTGGACTTTTAGGGGGATCGAAAATCAATGAGAAAAATTCATGCTACTTAAGTAGTCCTTTTTACAGTGTGTAGTTTTTGCACACAGCCAGCAGCAAGTTCATTCGAAAGCCGGCATCCTGAGGCAACTGAAACATTATAAAATTATGTTGCAGGCCGGCCAGTTTAACAACCCTACTTAACTAATCTTTGCGAAAAGGAAACGCATTTCTGAATTTCGGTTGACATTTCATGAGTTAGCCCAGTAGAGTTAGGCAGTAGATGTGCTAACTCATGAAATGTCAACCAAAATTTCGAAATGTGTTCTCGTTTCGAAAAGATAAATTAAGTAGTGTTGTAAAACTACTCATGATGCAGCATAAATCTATAATGATGCACTTACCTCAGGGTGTCGGCTTTAGAAAGAACTTATTTTCGGCTGCATGAAAGATCTATACTCTGCAAAAAGGACTACTTAAGTAGTATGCAATTTTCTCATTGATTTTCGATGTCCTTGAAAATGCAATTATATTTCATAGAAGACATGCATAAAAATATTCAATCTTTTACTTATTCGGTAGAAAATCACGTCTTCTTTCAATTTCATACTCAAAAAAATAGTATAATTCGGTTTTAAAAACTTTTCTAATTCCGGAATAATTTTGAACCCGACCTGCTATTACACTTGCATTTAGGGTTTCAAAACTACAAGCTCTATATTTTCCGTGTACGGAAAACCATGCATTTCTCTACGGTTTTAAGAGGAGACCATATGGGGTTCATAAAATTAAGCAGTGGATTTGAGCAACATTGCTAACTTTACAAGCCACGTTCGTAAATGCAGATACATGACTTTCATGAACGGCCATTTAACGGTATTAAAAAATTTCACAATTAGTAACTTTTTAAAAATCGAATTATACTCTTCTTTTGAGTATGAAGTTGGAAGAAAACGTGATTTTCTACCGAATAAGTAAAAAAATGAACATTTTTATGCATGTTTTCCATGAAATATAATTGCATTTTCAAGGGCATCGAAAATCAGTGAGAAAATTGCATGCTACATAAGTAGTCATTTTTTGCAGAATATAGATCCTGCATGCGGCCGAAAATGAGTTTTTTCTAAAGCCGACACCCTGAGGTAACTGGATCATTATAGATTTATCCTGCATCTTGATTAGTTTTACAACACTACTTAATTTATTTTTTCGAGACGAGAACGCATTTCGAAATTTTGGTTGACATTTCATGAGTTAGCACAGCTACTGTAGTTTAAATGAGGATTCCTGACTCTTCGAATTCGAGCGGGGACGTTTTATTTTCCATGGGTAACACAGCATGGGGTAATATGCCAGCGGCCACGCGACGGAATTCTACATGATCAGCACTTAAGGAACCCTACATACAGGCACGGATCTATTTTGCTTAGAAGAAAATCCCACCAATGTAGACGGTCGTACTTGAAGGTTGATGGTACAATAGCACTTCTTCTCGAAAGCCAACTGACCTATGGGATAACCATTTTGGTAAAGTTGGCCCGGATGTAATTTATCTTACGGCTTTTACTTAGGGCCTCGGAACGCAGACGATAAAGCGTTGGCGGTACTCAAGCCACGCTCTTGCTCTCTAGTTTCGAAACCCGTCGAGGTCGCTTAGTTTTTTATAATTTTCCTAAATGGATGCATGTTAACAAACCTTATAATTCAGTGCGTATTTCAAGTATTTACGGGCCATACGTTACTGGACATTTACTGACTATCCTTAAGATAAGAAAGTGTCTCAGTGAATGTGACGAGAGGCAAAACAGCCTAAATCCTGGGGAGATATTTTGCACATCGAAGGAACTACATAGGTCAGGTCACAACACCTACAGTCACGTAGTCGAGACTGGTCCGCAGGTAACGTGCCGGAACCCCTTGTTATGCGGCGGTCATCGTTAGTAACCTCCCATACCCTTCGCTCCGACTTGAGACAGACAGCGATGACTCAGGCAACTAATGACCCGATCAGGTTGCAGAGCAGGCTGTTCCTGCTGAGCTTTGATACTCTTTCTGCTTGATGCTCTTTTTTGGTGCTCTTTCCACCGCCTGATCGGTGGGCGACCACTTTATTCTAGCTAATTTTTCCGATCCGGACGGATAAGACAGCGACTCCGTGGCCCAATGGTAAAGCAGTTGATGTAACGCTCGCTCACCAACGAGTCGAGTTAAAATTCCGAGCTATCCAAACCTGGGGTTGGGCTGACATGGTTTGGCTAGCCAGAAATGGCTATCCTAGTGTACTTTGCCCTTGTCGGTTCTTCCGCTCCGGACATTAGATAGATGCAAATGTTCTCTCCTCCCAGTTCGACAGCCACAAATTCCTGCAATAATGGAAAGGAGATAGATGAAGGGCTATCGAGCAAGGGGAGACGGTTTGGAATGACGACTTTGTTTTAAGTATCCATTTTTGAAGGTTATATGTGAGTATTCTTTATTGGCTGCTAGTGCAATAACAGAGATCGGCGGAGAATGATCCTAACTGTGGTCACCCATCAGTTACCGCACGCTTCCGTAAGTCTGTTCTCCCCGTCAAACATGCCTTACGAGAGGTGCCGATAAGGATGCCTGATTGGTAGCGAGAGTTGACACACATGGAGATGAACGTCGTTCATGGCCGCCTGGTGAAATTTTTCACCTATCAGGTTGTCCTCAGGATCGTGTAATTTTGCGTGACTGAATTTACCAGTTGATCGACTAGGGTGTTCGTCAGTCATGACTACTGCATTCGCCACACTGTTTTTATCGTTCCGTTCCGTTACCAGAAGAAGCGACAGTTATGGGGAGTACTAGCCAGTCATCAGTCACTGACGCAGGACTGGAGATTGCTGCGCAGGGCTATGTATGCCGACGTTAGATCGATGCGTCGGCTGATTCAGTTCTCATCTGATGCTCAGACTTTGATCGATTTTCAGTTAAAATTTTCTCCAGTTCATTCACAAGGTTAAAAGAGTCCCTCTCATTTATTCCTTGTCACCCCGAAAAAGAAAGTCGGCAGGAGGGCTCATGGAATTTAAATAATTTCCAACTATACTGGTGTGAGCATGGATAATGGCAAGTAAAACTAGATTTCAAGTAGGCATGGGTAGGGATGGCAATAATTACGGCATTTTTCTGAAACCGAAGTATTTGTTTAATGCGCTTTTAGCATCACAGTTTTACAGCTCGTCCAAATAACAGTAGACGTTTTCAGTACTAGCCGTATCTTTAGAAATTATGTCATATGTCCTATTAATATAAGAGTGACGAGTGAAAATGTCTATTACTTATTAGGCGATATTAGTCAGTCGTGTCTCACAAGACGGATCCGGATTAACTGCTAAAATAATAGCTCGGTAAGATGATAGTTGGTAGCCGTGCCCACAGACTCCACAATGGTGCCTACTGGCTCGATTTCAGTAGCTGTGATTGCGTTCTCATTATGCTCCTAAATTCACGCGCGCGCTGTATTACCTGTATTAGATTCATTTTAGAGGTGCTATCCTGGGCAGATTTGCACAGGTAACGATGACAATGAGGCTTACCCTATATCAACTTTCATTAGAAGAGGTAGTCGGCAGGCGTGCCCAAAGAATCCACAATTGTACCTACTGGATTAATTTCAGTAGGTATGATTACGTTCTCATTATGCTTCTAAATTTACGCGCTCGCTGTATTACCTGTACCAGATTCATTGTGGAGGTACTATCCTGGGCAGATTGGCACCGGTAACGATGACAATGAGGCTCTCCCTACATCAACTTTCATAAGAAGAGGAAGCTTTTGCCTGCCTCATTCATTGTAGAGGTACTATCTTGGGCGGATTGGCACCGGTAACGATGACAATGAGGCTTACCCATTATCAACTTTCATAAGCAGAGGTAGCTTTCGACTGCCTCATTATTTGCGGATTTTCTCTTCCGCCAAACCAATTTTTCGCATAAAAGTCTTACCCGGCTTGCGTTGTGGCGTCCCGCTTGCCGCTGCTTGACTCTCGTGTTCTTCTGTCCATTATGTTGGATGGAGTTCTATCGCACACACTGCGGAATGACCTTCGGACCAGTTGCCTTCTTCCCCATTGGTTGTTCGCCTTCACTTGCTTTTCTTTCCAATCTGAGGCTAGGATGCATTTATTCCGCACACCGTTCAGAGTCTCCTTGCTCATTCCCATACCTTCCTTGTATTTTTCACCTAATCTAAATTAGGCTTCCACTTTACCTCTCGCGTCAATTCCTAGCATATACTACAATCGCCATTTACCCGTCCACTCAGTTGTCCCACCCGTATAGCCCCTATTACCACCGGTCCCGATTGACAGGCAGCTGGGAGTTTGCGGTGTCAGGAGGGCTACCAAGTATCATCTAACCAATAACTCTCTGTAGAAAGGGAGGAAACATGACTGAAATATAACCATTCCACCCCATCCCTGAAATCCGCGCTCACGTTAGTGTTATGGCTAGGACACGTGAATATTAAGGTTCCCTGGAAATTTTACGTAAGGCCGCTTACATTACTGGTAGGGCATTCCTATGTCCGCGTCCAGCCCAACGTTCAGTCATAATGACGCACGTTTAAATGGACAATGCCAAATCCTTAAGCTATTCAGGGTCTAGCTGGAACTAAGCACTTTTAAAATGTGTGAGTTAATATGGGATGACAGTTTCCGGGGTTGGTTCCGCTGATGAACTTCTCGTAGAAATTACGCAATGCGTTGAATACCAACCTTGGAATGCTGGATTTCGGTTGCCGCATTCACGGAGTACGGTTTGAAGGGATGTTTAGTTCTGCAGCACCAGCTGGAAAAATGAGGCCAAAACACCCGTAGTACGAGGAATGGTGGTAAGGGGTTTCACGGCTGGGGCCGTTGGTGAGGTCTGCCGTGTTAAAAAGCACGGGAAGAAGTAGGCGACGCGTGGGTAAATCAACATGGTGAGAAGGTGAATAAGACGATCGAAAGTGAAAAAAGGGAAAGAATTTGCCAACATTTCGCGGAAATCGCCGTGCTTGGCCAGGGCAGGAGGAAAATGCATCCTAGTAGTAAGTACCCAATCAGAAATGGGATTTCAGCGCCGAGGTCAGTCCGCAAACTGTGTGGAAGAGACGGAGCACAGCGTAGGTAAAGACGCAGCAGAAAATGACGAAATGGCCACGTGACAATAGGATGTGGAGCGCGTAATTCTGCGTTCTTGTTGTAACAAATGACCATTTCGAGGTAGCAGCAGTCTTTGAAACGGCTAAGACAATTGGGGCAGGGTGGTAAATAGTAACGCAAGGGTGAAGTAGCCTAGACATTTAGTTAGTCTGAACGTAAAAGTGTTTTAACTATTCCATTGGCAGACCGCAGACGAGTAAGCCGCATAGAAGAGTAAGACCGCAAAGAGGATAAGCAAACGGGATTTAGTAAAACCCTAGAGGCAATCAAGTCGCCTCAACTTTTATAATGCCTGCAAGCGAACAGGTTGCTGAAGTCGGAGGTTAACTGCTGTTATCGCCGACCGATGAGGCAGCATACCGACGACCATCCGTTTAGGTGCGGCCGGTGTAGAACCAGCTAATCACTCAGACACCGGTTAACATTCAAACCCGAATTGATGTCATTTGGGGGCAAGATTCTCTGTTGTCGCAGACGCGGCCGCAATCTCCTCCCGTTGGTCTCCATCAGTACATCAATCTAACCACTTCCCTCTGTCTACTTTTGCTTCCCCAAATCGCACACTTCCTATCTAGGGCCGATCCAAACGTGTTTCATTAGTACCTCCCCTCGGACAGAACCATGCCACCATGTTAGCCTCTACCTGGGCATTTTCTGACTTGTACAACAATCTGTAATCCTTTTGACAACCGACTTCGTCATCCAAAACGTCCACAAATAAGACGCCCTTTTTATCTTTGTTTCCTGTCATCGCCTCTAATCTCTTCTTTGAAATTTGTTAGGTCTGATTGAAAGTTTTCGCCAATTAAATCACAGGACTCCTGACTGCCATTGACATTATTATTGTTCTATTAATGCAAGCATAAATGTAGAGATTATCAGTTCACTTAAACGTTCGAATACATTTACGAAAATCCCATATTCCTGTGATATTTTATTTACATCCGCAGCTCATACGAGAAGCACTGATTTCCCCCATAAAATCAATAAACAGTGTTTTCGTTTGGTGCGTTTCTTAGTAACAATACGAACGTTTATCAAGTAGACTAACTACAAGCATCGCAACATATGATTGAAAATATGGGTAACCACTGCACGGCCGGTCTTCGCAGGGTTCGAGGTTCACTTAGGATATTAATCGTGAAGGTAGTTTGATCGCCTGAGGAGATTGGGCGTCAGTTTCTACTAACAAGTATCCCCTTTCTACGACCACTGACAAAACAAATGAGGAGAAAGTGTGGACTATCTCAAAATATTAAATTTTTGTGTTGTTATAATTCGCAAGCAGAGACGGCAGGGTCAGTAATCAGAAGGTTGGATTTCTTCAAAGCAGATTTTTCGAATAATAGATCAACAAACGCATTACTAAACGAAGGTCTGCTCTAGCCAGAAATTCACACAATTTGATTTCCTCTGAGTACTATTAATACAAATGTGGTCATATTAATAACAATCACATAATCGGTCTCCTATTTATGAGCTGCCTTATCATATGACTCCTAAAACAAAGAGCATAAAGTCATTTTTCTGTCAGTTTATACTTCAATGAACAGAGCATGTGGAGATGCTGTTACTTATTAAGTATATTTTACACAGATGGGCATGCTTCCTAACGCGATTCTACCCCCACATGCTGAAAACAACTTTTAAATTGCAAATAAACAACAAAAAAATAATATAACCAGAAGGTGGCCTACGTGCGCCGGCCTAACTTACACATTAACGTAATGCTGCAGCCAATCAACAGACGCAACGAACCCTTCTCCACCCCTCAAGCTCGCTTGAGTAATTAGGCGGGAAGTTAAAGTGCCAAACGTTTGGTTATGCAAATCACGCGGGCAATGAAAGCGCCTGCATTAACGATTCAGGTGCGGGCGACAGAACCAGTACTTCGCCTGAATCCGAACATCCGACACGAATGGGGGAGAGGTTAGTTTCAGTAGATGGGGGTAACGGCATTCTCCTAATAGTGCGCCCCAGCTAGCCCTGTCTGATGGTGGCTATCAGCCGAAATCCACACGAACAGATTTCTAATTCCGCTGATCGGGACTCATTCCACTAATGGAGCAGAATCTTTAAATGGTAACACATGAGCCACAAAGCATAGTGCTTGATACTGTCTAGTTGGCTGAATGTGGCTATTTCAGAGACTACTCTGAATCAAATAAAGCCATCATTGAAAATTTGATATTCGCTTTCTCACATGACAGGACCCAAAATTTGATTATGTTAAGTCAGGGACGTTGTTAAAGGCCGAATTATTCTCCAAGTGAGGTAGCGCATGCTTTACTCTTCTTTATGGCTTACTGGCTTTACAAGTTCGACAACAGTAGGCTTTAGCGACAACACTGCACTCCTGAATAGGAGATACTGACTGAACTGTTTCAGTTTACACCCTATACTATAATAAGCATTGGGCCAGCAATCAACACCAGAGGCTTTAATTTGTGATTTTGGCAGACTTAAGCTATTTATTTGAACCAGCTGTGAAAATCTCGGCGGGTGGCTTAAACTGAACGTGATTAGGCTCATAGCTCCCGGTGCGGATTCGCAACTCAGGCGGTTAGATCGTTGACTGTACTCAAAGCCTACCCTCGTTGTCGCATGTTCCAATCCCATCGAGTCCGTCCAAATCTCACAATTGGGTCAAAAAATCATAGACTTTATCAAAATTGTGCTTTGTATTCATGTTTCAGATACTGTAGTGTTATTCTTGCCTTTTTATCGGATGGTGGAAATTCCTCGTCGTGCATTTTACACGCGGAAAATTTATGCGAAACACTTAACACAAGGAAAAGTATTTGGCGCGCATACGCGTGCTTTCAACAAATTCTCATTGGGTCAGTACATTTGTATGGGAACGAGGTACAAACTAAAACGTGTGAGCGGTAAGAGCAATCGATTAAGATTCGTCTTTGCATACAAACGGGGTATGTGAACAGATCGGAGGGAAGGGAGGGGCGGCAGTAAGTGGCAGTGAGAGTTAGAAAGGGCCCTGTCACAAGGGGTGGTCGGGGCGCGGAGCCATGCATACATATAATCGATTCTGACCCACGGCAGACGCGGAGCGTGCAAGAGGTTCTTCTGCGTGCACAGGACCGGCCTTTGTAGCCTGACGGCAGTCGCTTCTGCTGTTGCTAGTAAGCGCTGACCCAATCGCTTAGAAAGTTAGGTTGGGCCTTGTAAATCTCAACGATGGCTTCGATGGGATCCACACAATGCCCAGAATCAACCACGCGTGCGAGGATGGAGCTGGGAATGCTCTTAACTTCATCTTTCTTCAGCCATGCCGGCAGGTACTCTCGTATTCTTGCGGAGAGGCGCCGACTCGTACGAGCAACATAACCTGCTCCATAGGAGCAAGTAAAGGAGTAAATGCACATGGGGGTGGTGTGAAATGGTAGTATGCCCCTACTTTGGTAGTCTAACCCTACCTTTTCCGCGTAGGACGGGGTTGGTCGAAGACAATACTTGAACTCTTGCTACCGGGATGGTCCGTGAAACGGCCTGGTCAAGACACCTTCTCAGGAGGTCACTCGCCGCGTCCCCATTCATTAACATGCATATTGGGTCCGCGCATAGGTGCCGGTTTGCCAATGATTAGCAGCCACTTGTGAATTTCAACACCCTTCATGATTTAGGTAGGAAACTGTACTTATTCATAGCTAAGGGTCTATCAATTCCGTAAACAATACAATTTCAAATGTGCCGCCGTCCTTTTACAAACAATCTGAATGATGTATTGTAGTGTTGAGCAGAGGACCGATCCAGAAAAGAAACACCAGTTAGATGAGCTGGAGAAGTGCCAATTATCACGCTTAACTAAGTGCCCTTCGTTATCAGACGATGTGTCGACATATCGTGTTCATGTCCGATAGCGCGCTGGCAAACGTGCTGTTACCGCTGACACCATCAACGCGCACAAGCCGCCTTCTAATGAATCTCAGTTTAAAATGTTTCCATACGCGGTCCCTGTAGATAATATATTTGAGGATTTAAAAATGCCCAAAATTACTCAAAAGGGGATGACACTGTCGTGCAATTAGGCATCAGTTTGCCGCTGCCAGCTTTGGAAACACAACGTCCATGAATAACAGAAGAAAGCAGAAAATAACCTGTTTCATAGTAATGAAAACATAGGCAGATCAAAAGCAACTGATCTATAGATTGGCTGAGATTTTGCCATATTCTTGGGCGAATTAGCTCCTGAAAATACGCACCCTTTGTTTTTGTCGCTTAGGGCCTTATTTGCTCGATGTAAACATTAAAAATAGATGCAAGACCTCGCACGTTCGACTAGCTAGCGTTTTCTACCTAAAGCCTCTATTGTTGTTGACAAAATAAATATATTTTGAGCAAACTCATTTGGCAGCATTTTGCGACGATTCGCAAGCAGAACCTGGATATCATTTAGTTATCGTTTCAGGGTTGTTCAAAAGATGCTGAATAGTGCTTAGTTTTCTAAATGTCGCGTAGAGTCGTCAAAGGTAACGATTGGGCATCGGGTAGAATGGGAGGCTGCGATGTGATTGCCGTTTGTTTTCAGACTGATTTTACAGTTCAATAGAAGCGCACAGGATGTGTTCGCATTACACGGTGCATTCGAAATTTAAGAATGTAAAGATTCTGTGTTTAAGTCCTAACTAGAAAGATGTTAATTCATAAAAATGTACATGTTCGCTTTAAGGGGATGTTAAGAAAAGTGAGAGCCGAATTGTTTTTGAACATCAGGTGCGTCGGCCATATCGACGAAATCAAGCGAACTCGTTTTCGTCTTGTTACATTGCATCCCAATCAATCCAAAAGCGTAAAAAATTCCACGAATCTTCGGTAAACCGTTTGGGAATCAATGCCCAGAAAGTAGGCTGTTGGAAAACCCACATACCTGAAGTTATACTAATTACTAAAGTGTATTTAAATGTAGACTTCTCTTAAAATCTGCGTTTAAAGGTTATAGATTTTGCGTGGGTTGACATTCTATATATTAAAAGCTAAATTTTACGCAAGTAAAACCATGTTTTGGCGTTTTCGGGATTTTCTGCTTATCCATATAGTTTACATTATTAAGCGACGTAACATTGCCTTTAATATTCATTTAGTGTTTTTATTCCGTTAAAGTTCTTATTCATTAACATAACTTTTGGGTCACGCATTGGTGGCGTTTTGCCAGTGGTTAACCGTCATTCGTAAATTTCGACACCTTTCATGTGTTAGATCACGAACGTTCTTCAACGTTTATCCATCTTCTATGCACCTTCTGTTGAATCGTTGTTGTTTGCAAGCTAGAGCGTTAAATCTTTAACTTAATGGAACTCCTGATATGATGCTGAATGAAATTAAAAATGAGAGACAGGTAGCATATGAGAAGCAATGGTAATCTGAGGCCACCGGGTGACTTAGGGTATCTGAACACGACTGATCCTCATAACCGAAAAGGGAACTGTTCAAACGGATAAAATGGCAGAACCAGTTTCCGGCAGCAGCCTGATGCAGAGTATCATTTAAACTGCAGGAGTCTGCGGCGATTTTGATGGGGACATTTTTGTTGGGTAAATACTGCTCATCGCTTCTGGCTAGAATGGTAAATGTAGAAAAGCACTTAAAGCAACTGCGTATTAGAGGGTAGTAAAAAAGAATGTGCGTTTTGAAAAAAAGGGAAACAACTAACATTTTAGGACTAATAGAGTTGTTTTTGCTTTCGACTTCAGCGTAATCCCGACCGGAGTACACATCGCAGGCGAGGGTGGTACGTGTAGTGTTCTCCAGGTAGATGCAGTAGGCAGTTGGGGGTGTACGACAGACATTAGCCTGCCCGTGAATATACAAAGCCTCTTTTATTTCTCTCGGTTTAATGCCAGCAAATGTGTGGAAATTGGCGCATGTCTAGGTCACAAGTGCTAAGCCTTTGGATGCATTTTCTAAGACATTTCAGTGCCTTTTAAATGTTGAAAGACGACTTAACGGAAGTGTTACGTGTGAACCCACGTAACTATCGCTACGCTTTTCTGCCGAAATATTTTGTTTGTCTGCGCACATAACAAATAATTACACTCTCAATCATAAAATATCTGGATAACTATTTTAAGCAAACGTCTGACTCATTAAAGATCATCTCTGGTTTCTGTGAAGATATGTAAATTTAACTAGTCCCGGATGAAAAAAGTAAAACGACACGCTGTTACCACAGCACATGTTTCCCCGAAGCCGATAGGATCCTTGTCAGCGCATTTTTGTAAACTCACAATAATCTCTTTGTTCTGCCCGACCTGTATGCCGTCAGTAATCTTGCACATATTTTCCTTTACATGTTTCCCTCGTTGCGGCTTTCATGCGTGCCTTCTAAATGACGCCCAAGCACTCGCAACACTGGTCCCTTAATCAGCCGTTACCACTCACGACACGCAAGATTCCTAAACCAGGCAAACTACAGAGCTCTCAACAAAATGTCAGTAATGAGGTTATGAGGGTAAAATCCATTTTGCTTCCTCATCTAGTATCCGCCAACGATTCCAGGAATGGCGTTAGTTTGGCAACAAACTGACAGTTTTCAATGTCCACCGCCCTAAACTTCTGGGCCACTGCTTGCGACAGTGGGCATATAAGATATTAATTCTAGGCCTCGGCGGGAAAATCGGAGCTTTAGCCTTGTTGAGATGACGCATCTGGCCTACACATCGCACCAAGAGTTGCCGACCTGCTAATATAAGTAAAATCCCAAGTGGCACACTTATGAGCTAAACACTTCACAAATGCTAATCCATCAGGTTGCGCTGCCCAGCTTAGAAAACTGGTTTGCTGATACCAGATAGCCTCCACTAACAGTTACGGTATGTTTGGTCGATATAACACAAACGTTGTCTGCGCGCTGACAGTCGATGTATTGGTGGCGCGCTCGAAGACTTTAGAATGCAGTCGTCATCGAAGAGGATACAATACATTCTGGACGTGAAGGTAATTGTGATGGACTACAGACGGTGGATTTTAATAATTTACCTGAGATCAAAAGCGCATCTCGCTATCTGGTCGACCCCTTTGGCCGGTGTCCGACAGCATTGTGTAGAATTTGAGGCTGGGGTGGGTAGACTGCGGATGCTTCCTTGCTTCGCCCTACGTATCCCCACGTAAGTCACTTACATTCATTCATTGTCTGGCATGCTTCCCACTATACAACTATATAGCTGTCTTTCCGTCGTCGTGAATCGTCTGTGACAACCAAATCGTCCCACAGCTTTGAATGCTCCATATGGATCAATGAAGGTGTTGTAGAGGCCGATGGACATATTTCTGCAGTTGCCGGGCAATATGAAGAGTGTTTTGCGGACACCGAGACTGCCGCATTGTGTTGCGCGGTTATTCTGGAATTGGTATCCACTCCCTAAAAGGCCTTCAGGTGATTCAGTACTACCACCCTCTTCGAAAGTTTGAAAAACTGCAAGACGGGTAGACCCTGCTGCGCTTCATCTCCGACAATGCGTATGTATCGGCTGGGATAAATCTTGAGCACCCAGCTTCGGTTTCTAGGACAAAAGGAAAGCCACTGGAACCTAGAAGAAGAAGAAGAAGAAGAAGAAGAAGAAGAAGAAGAAGAAGAAGAAGAAGAAGAAGGAGAAGAAGAAGAAGAAGAAGAAGAAGAAGAAGAAGAAGAAGAAGAAGAAGAAGAAGGAGAAGAAGAAGAAGAAGAAGAAGAAGAAGAAGAAGAAGAAGAAGAAGAAGAAGAAGAAGAAGAAGAAGAAGAAGAAGAAGCGATCACTGGAACAAAGAGTTCATTGACCTGACGTTTCGGATTCTCACTCGAACCCATCATCCGACACAGTCCCAGGTTTGGATAGAGGAAGCACAACAAATGCAGTATGCAGAGTATGTACTTGCCACGGGGTCATACGGGTACTATAATTGACAGCTCTCGCGATCACCGCTGTGGGTAGTAATTGATGTAAGGTGATACCATACTAACAGCACAGATAATAGACAAAAACCTATACCCGCGTGTTTCGTTGATTTTCTGCATGGCGCAGCTGCGAGGGGTTCAGCTCGTCAGTGGGCTCCCCTGTTTTCTGGTACATACTCCAATTTAGAAATTGTCGTTTTTAATTTCCTCCGACATTATCTACGAACCTGGAGTAGATCAGTTTATTCAAGGTCTATAGGCACAGACCGCGAATTTTACGTATGAATATTTGGGCCGAAGTAATTGATATGATAATGGCTTGTCAGTCGGCGTCCGAGTCGTTAGGGGCCGCGACCCTATTATGCGTGTCGGATGTTGGCGTGATGATTACTCGGCAATCTGGCCCACCGTCACTGCAGTTGTTGGCCGCCCACGCCATCCCCACATGACTGATTCCCCTGCCCAGCGAATGTTTCAGCACTGAATATGCCCACGCAGTGGCTAGGCTCGCAGCTCACGCGGCGTTCATCACTAGCAAGGATTTCCGCCTCTTAAAACTTGAAAATATGGCCGACTCCCGTGGAATGAGCCATCACCATCGGCAAGGCGGGTTTTATAACGTAGGTACTCACTGAGTACCTCGAGCACCGAGGGGGTCTTGGATTGTTTAAGTTCACCATGTGAACATTTAGAAAGTCAAGTCCGACAGACGTAAGCTTTCGACTGTTCATCATCAGGCCTGAATAGGGATATAAGGGAGGGTAAGATAGGGGAGGAAGAGCTAAACAGCCATTCAGAGGTCAGAGGTCAGGGGTCAGAGTCCACTTGCACCTGGGGGCTAGGAAGGGGAAGGTGTCTGGCTACTAGCTGTCCCTGTTTCATCGCTGTAGCGCGAAGCGGCTGGAGCTGCGAAGACATTCTACTCTACCCTCCGTCACATTTCTACACAGGCCCGATTATGAATAGTCGGAGGTGTGCCTTTGCCAGAGTCGACTTCTTAAAGGTTTACATGGGCATCATCGCTGAACCCTGAAAAAATCACGAATAATTTCGAACCCGACCTGTCATTGCACGTGTATTCAGGGTTCCTAAGCTACAAGATGTATGTCTCCCATGTAAGGAGAATCGTACATTTCCAAAAGATGTTAACAAGGCGTCATAGAGGACTCGTGAAATTTTACAATGTATGTGGACCGTTGCGTATTTTATAAGCAACATTGATAAATGCACAAATACGATGCTTTGTGAATGAAGGTTTCACGATCTTAAAAAATCTCCTAATTCCGAACTTTTTAAAAGCGGGCATTACCCTTACTTGAGGTATAAAACTCGTAGAAGACACGATTTGCTACCAAATGAACACGAGGCAAATATTTTATGTATGTCTTTGATTAAAAACAGAAATTATGGTCTAAGGATAGTAAGTCAATCAAGCATTTGTCGAACGCTAAATTAGTGAAATTACGCACGTACTGCACAGGAGCATTTGGATAAGTTTCCGATGAAAGCGAACGGGCGAGATGCAGGAAGTAGTTTAGGAAGAGAAGATGCGGTCACTGGAACAAGAAGTTTATTGGCCTGACGTTTCGGATTCTCACGCAAACCCATACTCAGACACAGTTGCAGATTTGGATAGAGGAGGCACAAGCAGCGCAGTATTTATAGTATGAAGTTGCCGCGGGACCGCATGGGTACTATAATCGGCAGCTCGCGCGAGCACCGCTGGGGGATCATAATTGATGTAATGATGGCTCGTCAATCTGCGTCCGGGTTGTCAAATGCATCACCCGTGTTGGATGTTGGCGTGGTGGTAACTCAGTCATTCGGCTCTCTGTCACTGGAATTGTTGCTCGCCCACGTCCTCCCCCCACGTGATTGATCCCCCTGCTCAGCACCAAATATAGTAACTAGAGATCATTGCGCTTACTGATGGGCAGCGGGTCTGAGGACCATGACTCAAGCAACTCGCGGATCACTCGGTGATCACCTCTTGTGATGATTTCGGCCTCTTGAAACTTGAAAGTTCTGTCGGGTCGAGTCAAATGAGCCGCCATCTGAAAGCTAGCGTCTTTCCTCCTGAATGTTGTAAATCCTCACCAGAGGTGACAGCCGGGTGATGCACGAGCTGTTCGTAGTCCGTCAGTAAGCACAATGACCTCCCGTTAACATATTCTGTGGGTGAGTAACAATTTCCAGTGACAGAGTAATTATCCCGCCAACATCCATCCCAATCGTCGTGTCTCCGCGCAGGCTGACAGATTGACACTGTTCGCTCTGGAAGTTTGGGATCTAGTAAAAAAACTGACCGGAAAGTAGGACTGCTCTAGTCGTCTGGGAACTGGTGCGCTACAAGTTGAACGGTGTGGCTCTCAGTGAGACCAAATTCCCCGAACAAGGACAACTGGGAGTAGATGTGTGCAGGCCAAACCCTCATCTGGGGCGGACGTCAGAGGACTGGGTGAGAAGATGCCGTATCCGCTTTCACTGCCGGAAACGGCATCGTGGTACAACCGTCCGCATTTCATCAGTGACCGTTCACTTATCATAGGGCTGCCACTCCGTGGGAACAAATGTCACTGTGGTCAGCGAGCACACTACCTTCCCTCCCCCCACCTCCTCAACTCTAAAAACCAGCTCCGATGCCGAGAAGAAAACGTTCTATAAAAGCATGCATTCCCTACCGGTAAATATTTCAAAGGCGAGTTAGGTGATTGCTCTTAGTGCTTTCTGTGCCCGCATCGAAACAAACTCACATACCTAGAAGGGACGAGATCAGCAGCTGCAACAGCACTGGTCATTTATTCCGGCAAATTTGGCCGGCATCTTTCTCATTCCAATCCTGGGAAGACGAGGTGGCCGTACCCTCATATTCCCCGCTGACAACTGTTTGGCTGTGTGCTCTTCTTGAGGTATTTCCAGACTTTTACACCGGTGAACAAGCCGATGTGTGGCTCAAACTACTGAACAGGCTTCTGTGTTGTCGCCTCGAAAATGAGACTGAAACTGCAATCCGGCAGGCGTCTGAAAGGTCGGCAAACACCAGAGAAGTTAGCTTTCGCGTTACTAGATAGGACAGATTGCTAATTGGGTCTCATCCGTCCCACGCAGTCAGCCCAGTTGTGTTTTTTCCCCGATTGTCTTATTGGTGGACTGAGAGTCAGAATGCGATTGCTCTTTCTTAATGACACACTCTCACACATGCCAGATCTGAAACGTTTCCCCGTTTCCGCTCCCAGTCTTCTCGACTCTGTCTTGACACTTGGTCGAGGTGGGTGAGGAGGAGGAGGAGGAGGAGGAGGAAGAGAGAGTGCGGTAGATACAGCCCAAGTCTACCATCACCATAAACGTATTCAAGCGCAAATCACCGTCGCTGTGCTCATTCTGCTATGGAGCACACGGTGGGCATCATGACAAAACGACGGTCAAACTGCCACCAATTTCACGGATCTCTGTCTAGAGCAGTTGTGAGCTTCTCTTGAGAAGAACGGAGTCAGTTGCGGAATGTCATACGCTCCACAGCTTTGGAAGTCTTTGTCGCGCACGCCGTCAACACAGGGACAAATGTGACAACAGGGGTCAGTTGCCTAGACCATGGGAAGTTCGCCATTGTAGCAGATGTTAGAACAAGGGGAAGTTTCTTCGAACTTCAAGGACGCCACCGATTTCCACGTACACAAAAGCAAAAAAAATCGACAACCATAAAAACTACAGTTGTATAACTCTCCGCTGCATAATCTGTGTCCTACACAATCCTTTGAATCTCATCCTGGCGTATTATTCGAAATTTATACTCCAAGGAAGGTAAAAATCGGTTTTCGAAAAAGTTTCTAATTGTAGGATTTTTAAATACCGTGGAACGACCGCTCATAAAACGTCATGTCTCCGCATTTACCAATGTGGCTTGTAAAGTTAACAATATGACCTAGATCCACTGCTAAATTTCATGAAACCCATATAGTCTCCTCTTAATACCGTAGACGAATGTGTGGTTTTCCGTACGCGGAAAATATACGGCTTGCAGCTTGGAAACCCTGAATGCAAGCGTAACGGCAGTTGGGCTTTAAAATTATGCGGGAATTGGAAAAGTTTTTGAAAACCAAATTATACCGTTCCGTCGAGTATAAGATTCAAGGAAGAGTGAATATGCTCATGCGTGTTTTCCGTGAACTCTAACTAAGTCGAAAATTAATGAAAAAAGTGCGTGCCTGTTAAGCAGTCATTTTCGCAGACTATTGCTTATACATGCAAACGAAAAGAAGTTTACTCGAAAGCCAGCATCCTGAGCTAACTGAATTACTATAGAATTACGCTGCACAAGGATTAATTTTACAACCCTAATTAATTAATCTTATCGAAACGAAAACGCATTTCGGAATTTCGGTTGACATTTCACGAGTTTCCCACCTACTATATGTCCGGGTTCTGTCGAGTGAGCCGTCACCTGAGAGCGAGAGCCTCCCAGCATCACTGCCACTACAAATTCGCAGTTGGAGCAATCGTCCAAATTTCCCTACGTAGCCGCTTTGTCAACAACTGCACCAGATCCGATAAACGATCATAGACGTTTCCTGCTGTAGCAGTGGGTCCTTCGGCCGCGTGACCTGGATTCCACTACGAACGCGTAACTCCTTTTTTCGCTGACTTCACTTTTCGCAAATTTCCTGCACGATTTCATCCTGAAGATTTTCCCGTGTCACTTACTGTGCCCATAGATAGGAGGGCACAGTTTCCGACACACTTTTGCGAATAAAACTCCGGGTTAAACTCCAACCAAATTGTGTACAGTCGTTCTCCATATATGTCGTCATCTGGACACCTTTACTTTTGTCCGGGAAATTCTTCCGCCCATTACCAACAAAACTATCATTCATGAGTCATTGTC